TATGGTCAACAATCTCTTCTCATTTGCTTGTGATAACAAATTTCATCTGGTTTGTGATAACCATGGAACAGAACCGTAAGTTTGAACATGGCAGGTTAGGAAGTCGTTAAGATATGTTTTTTCCTTATTACCAGACCTCTATGTGGATTAGGTATCTTATGTGAGGTTACCGTTACATTTTGCTTGTGATGGCAAATTCCATCTGGTTTTTGATAACCTTGGCACAGCATAATAAGATTGCACAAGACAGTTTAGGAAACCGCAGAAGTACCACTTTTATTACTAACAGATAGAGATTAGGTTCATCTATGCGAGACTAGCGTTACTTTTTGTTTGAGATAGCAAATTCCATTTGGTTTGTGATAGCAATGTAGCAATATAGCATTTTCCATGTATAACATAAAAAATGGGTACATCTATGTGCGACTAGCGACACAATTTGCTTAGGATAGCAAATTCCATCTGGTTTGTGATAACTATGGAACAGTATTGTAAGGATGCACCTGAGAAGTTAGAAAGAAGCCCAAGTACCATTTTTCATTAATGAACGACAGAGATAAGGTACATCTACGCGAGACTAGCGTTACATTTTGCTTCTGCTAGTAAATTCCACGTGGTTTGTGATAACCATGGAACAGGTATGTAATTATGAACATGTTTGGTTAGAAAATCGCCTGTGATATCAAATTTCATCTGGTTTGTGATAACCTTGGTACATCATTGTCAGAATGCACATGACAGTTTAGGAAACCACTAAAGTACCATTTTTCGTTGATAACAGATAGATATTAGGTTTTATTTAGTCGAGACTAGCGTTATATTTTGCTTGTGATAGCAAATTCCATATGGCTTGGAATAGCCATCGCACAGGTCAATAATATGCATATGACAGGTTACGAATCTGCTGACGTACTATTTTTCATTAACAACATAGGTATAGAAATTAGGTACATCTATGGAAGACTAACGTCACATTTTGCTTGTGGTAGCAGATTCTACCTGGCTGGTGATAACTATGGAACCGGACTGTACGTATGAACATGATCGGTTAGGAAACCACCAAAGTCCTAATGTTTAGTAATAACGGAGATTAAATATCATTATGCCCGATTAGGACTATACTTCGCATAGGTGGCACTCGATCAGCGTGGCGCTCTGGATTGTGTTGTCTTAAAGGCCATGTAATTTGTTTAAATCGATAACGCATCACCATGATGATGCGGGAACCTTAGTATAATTAATTTTCGACTGCCATTTCGAGGGCAGATCTTGTTGATGTCGACAGATGAATAAATTAGGTTCTATTGGTATTGGTTCTGAGGTAGCGAAAGCCATAATAGAAATTGTCGCTCCCAGGGATGCATGCTTGGTCTGTTTACAGCAGCATGTGAGCTGTTCATTAAGTGCAAGTGGCAATACTCTATCCTCTAGGTTCAAAGAAGGGAGAGGAGCGCATACTGGCAGATATTCACATTAAAGCAAAGGACGCAGGAGTATTCTAACAGAGGCTTCAATTGATATCTTGTTCTCCGGTGTAGGTCTGACCAAGTAAGTCAATTCTGAATAGAAATCAGATAAATATGAGCAGCAACTGAAGGTACTGACAACATCAGATATCACCTATTATTACAGATAAAGTATGTAGATCAGCAGGGACATTTTATTCAACATCAATGGCGCTAAAGTCCTGAGTTGGACTCAAGTGGTCACTTGCCATTCACGTGGCGACTGGTTCAGCACTTTCTCATAGCTGAATCTCATCAGTCCATCTGTGAACTCGTCTCTCAATCGCTTAGCTGCGGTGCCAGCAGTAAAAAAGTTGAGCTAACTAAAAATCAGCACCTATGCAACCTTTTCTTGCCCCCCAAGTCTGATGGGTCAACACGTTTGATTCCTTACCTCAAAACACTTTGTCTGTTGATAGGGATAGAACACTTAAGCCTAGGCTATTGAACTGGGATTAGACTTCTCTATAGAGATACTATATTAACAAATCTGGATTTGGAATATGCAGCGATTTTTTTACCCGTTAGGGAGAGTCATGGAATATATACCAGATTCATATTCAAGGGACAGCTCTTCCAATACAATGCTGTACCGTTTAGGGTAAATTGTGCTCCTCATGTGTTCAGAAAGTTAATAAGACCATTTCTGGAATACCTTAAGAAAATATTGAGCACTTTCAGGCTCAGTATTAAATTCTGACAGAAAGAAAGTATCTTTACTTGAGCAAACGATGCAGACATTACTAAACCTAGTAAGGGCAATAATGGACAGCAACCAAGACAGGGTCCGAAACTTTGCGGTAAACGTCGGGATCTTGGTGTTAGCTTGTCCTTCATTTCGTCACAGCCGACTGTACACTAACGAGTAAAATTTCTTGCCTTGTAAAATTCTCCAGGGAATTTTAACGCTACTATGCTACTAACATAATATACCTTAAGGTCTACCTCGGCTGGGGCTCAAAGAAACTGGCAGATGCGGTCGGAGGTATTGAATTATCCAATTTTTAGTCGTATAATTTCTCGGACTGGGACATTCGCTGGCCAGGGAAAAGTCTCATAGTTTTTGGTCACCCGAGAAGAAGATCCCGAATGCTAATCATCAAGAACCACTGGTAGTTTTCTTCTGTGGTGAATGCTTCGCTACCCAATTGGTGGGCTGTCGCATATTATACCCCATCCTACATCAATAGAATGAGTAGCGTCTAGTTTCCATGTTTGGACCAGGTTGCGGGAAAACTTGGCAGTTGTGTTAAGAGATAAATCTTACTTCACTCGCATCCAATATAAAATCTACGAGTAATACTGATACAGATGAGCTTTTGCGTCAGCGGGACGTGGAAACGGAGTGGGAGCTACACCTGTCACCGTCCTGATTTTGGTTTAAGAATTCGGTGTTTCTGAAATTTCACTTCTAGAAGTAACGGAAGGATCTGAAGGAGGTTTGAAAAACACGTTAGTCAACTGTGCCGAACATCATTCGGTGTCTTGAAGCAATTATTTCCTCATAGGAAAAGTATGAATACTGGTCTCAAGCTGAAGTTGTGCGAAACCTTAATATGGTCTAGAATTCACTACTGTGACTGTATTTATGGGCCTGCACTAAGATCGATTGAGATAAGGAGACTTCAGACTATTCAAAATGCGTGTCTCAGATTTGCTTGTGGAGTGAGAAAATTTGACAGTGTCACATAAATATCGTGAGCTGGGTGTTCAAAAAATAGAAGAGCTACAAAAAATGCATATATTGACCTTGACCCATAAGGTAATCACAACACAAGCCCCTCCATATCTATCAACCAAATTTATCAGATACTCAGATGTTAATCAACTGAACACAAAGAATAAGCATATTTTGGTTATCCCGAGACATTCAACATCTCTATTTAAAAGGTCGTACGTATATACTGCTATCAAGCTATACAACGCGTTGCCTACCGAGTTCACTCACTACTCGATAAAGAATTTCAAAAAAAGATTGAAGAATTTTATCTCTGATTCCATTGCCCAGTAAGTAGACCATGGCCATGAATAAGGACTCGTTACAGGTTTTTTTTAACTCTTGTTTTCATTGGGATTAGAAAATATACATCAATATTTGTTGGGTTAAGTTGAAAAACGCTTTTTAGCGACACTTCGCCTTTTTATACTTTGTATAAATAAAGCCGGATTATTATTATTATTATTTGTAATATTACTTTTTTTTCACATGTGGCTTAATATTAACTGAACCACGTTATATCTTCTAACACTATTTCTCACACTGTACCGTGATAAGTCTAAGAAAGTTGCAATTTCTGAGTTTGATTTCCCAGAATTAAAAAAATTAATTATCAGTAACCGAATTTTCTCACTAATAACCTTTCCTCTACCCATTTTGAAAACCACCAACTATCCAAAACTATTTTGAATGTATTATGACAGCTGTGATTAATAATTGTCATGGCTTTTATTTTTCACAGCCACCTATGTATTATAGACTTATTTCGCATTGAAATGAAAATAGGTGGATATGCTGTAATTGCAACATGTGTTATTTTTATGCTGCAAATTTGAATAGGGAGTGATAAAGTTGGTGCTTTCTACTATATATTATCAAAATATTCATTGTTAATATTTTACTCCTATAACACCCTGCTACATTTTTATTATTTGTGTTTGCTAAGAGAAAAACTAGCATCTCAATAGTTGGGCCAACTGAAGTGGGAAGGGGCTCGTATGCCATCTTGTAGAGGAGAAAAAGTAGCAATATTATTGTGCAATTTATTTTGAAGTCGCACCATAAATAAAGTTAGGAAAAAAATTATAGCGATTTTGGGAAAATCCGTTATTCGGAAGTACTTTGAATTTTTTGAAACTTTCTAAATGACATTTTGTTAGTTACCTAAATACGCAACTTTGCCCCCATTTAAGGCACTTCGTATCTCTTACCGTTTCTGCGCTGAGGGTTGAATTTGAAACACTTGATATTTCCATATCGATGAGCATTTTGTAGTACGCGCATTAATTGTCTGCTATTATACAAAATACAACTTAAGAAATATTTTGCAACCTGAGTGAGTTTTGTAAATGTACTTCGAAATGATTCACATACAGCCTACGAAAACTTTTATTTCCAAAATTACTTTATATACGGACGCAACGTATCTTTGACTTTACTTTGACACGTAAATACTTGGAGTAAGCACGCAGATCGAGAGATGGATAAAATAAGTAGCCTGGATGGACGTGTTCTGCCGACCATAAAACATCCAAGAAAGTCCAAAGTGTTAGTAAAATACTAAGTCCTCTTTTGCGAGGGAGGTTAATTGAAGTTAACAATAAATGTGCCTCTTGAAAGCTTAGAGCGTCATGCTTGTTTCAAATTATGATAACAATTATACTTTTGTTAATTATTATTCATAAGGTACCACAATTATACGTACAGGTATTCTGATAATAGTTATGACTTTCCCTTTGTAGGCTTGCTAAATATGAATTTAATATTTCATGTGGGTACTTACCATTACTTATAACTCATATAAATTCAGAAATATTCCCGGTATTTCGCACTATGTGAGCTAATCTCTCAAAACAATATGCAAAATGCTTTCTGTAATTTACTTAATCGCTGTAGCATGTGTGGTAAGTTATTCAAGTATTAATTTTATGGTATGCTTACTTGTAAGTTTTGTAAGTTCCAATGTCGCTTTTTTTTTCTTATGTTCATGTTAATGAGCGTATAAAACATCAAATACATAGATTACATATTAGTAATATGAGCCGTCGCGTATCACATCAAATAATACACTTTGCGATCCAAGAAACGTCTTTAGATTGAAAAAAAAGATGATCAGCTGGTATGTAGCTCACTATGACGAATTGTTTGCATCTCCATCTTCAAGAATGTTTGACTTATAAGCTGTCAAGTATTCTTTTAGATAAAAGGTCCAGTAGATTCTCAAATTTAAACTCTTTTGGATGGGGCTTTCAGAATATAAGAAAACATACAGAGAGCGTATAGTTGCCTGCAACATTTGTCGATATCTTTTACAATAACAGGGCTATCGAAAAATTAGGTGAAAAAGTCACTCTGCATGATATCCAAAACGCCATGTGAATTTTTTAGAGCTTGACCAATATAAAATTTCCACCACTGATATGCCAAAAGTTATCATCAAGGTGTACAGCGATAAAAAAACAGTATGGCGACACAGATGCCACACAATCACTTCAAATATCATGATAGCAAAATTATGCCAACAGAGAGATCGCACGATGGACGGGTAATGCATATTCGGAAATTATGAATAAATACTTATTTCAGAGACGTTTTTCCCTAATTTATCTTTCATTTGAACTTAAAATGATTACCTCAATATCCTCAATATGTTTATAGATGTTTTTCATTGGCTGCGAAGAAATACCCAATGAACCAAACAGTATTGAGCTTCTAGTACTTGACAAGGATGCTAACGACACAATCATGGCAAGCATTTCTCCAAATAATAAATCTTTTGTGGTTGACGAAGTAATTCCTCTGCAAGAGTCCAATGGAAATACATCAAATCGAGGAAAGATAATACTGCACAGCAAGTGGACATTGAAGCCGATTGTTTATGATTTGTTACAAAAGGTATCACCCTCTGTGATCATGCAAGGTCTTCATGACAAGCTCAAAGATATAAAGCTATATTGGACGCAACCAAACCGTCCCAACTTTGGTGGAGTCCAGTTTGCTAGCCCAGAACAGATTTGGGACAAGCTTCATGAAAAAGGGCATCATTTTTTAACAGGTAAGTTTTATCTAATTAATAATGACAGAATATACCATGCAATATAGGCATAACATTGAAAAATGATAGAAAAAAAAAACATACTTTTTGCATCCCACGGCTTTTGATGACATTATATACAGGGTGGCCCATCCATGTGTGGACGGAATATTACTCATAAACAAATACATTTTGGAAAAATCTATTTACGGCATTTTATACATGACATTTGAGCGCACATTTCTAAAATACTGGCAATTATACAGGGTGTCCCAATTTTGAGCTACATATCAAAGTTGTGATTTTTCAAATGGAATGCCTCAAATTTTATTGCATACTTGGATAAATCAATTCAAAAGATTGATATAACATACTATGGGGTTTTGGTGATTAGCTACTGAGATGTAAGCTATTTTGTCCAGAAAAACCGTCCACTTCGACCACCCCTCAATCCGCCATTTTGAAATTTGGAGTGCTGAATTTTGTATCAAAAAAAACCTACACAACTCAGCTTTTATTTTATTTGTTACCTTTTCGGATTTTCATTTTTGCTCATACAGGGTGGTCAAAAACGCGAATTGAACTTTTTCTCAAAAATTGAAAATGTATCACCCTGTATATTTGTGCAAGTTTGGATTCAGTTTGTTATAAGCTATTTTTTGTATAAGGTTTGATTCAGATCGTAATGAGATTTTGAGTTATTAAGCTTTTAATAGAACAACACACCAAAATTAAGGAAAAAAATCACATCATCCATGGAAACAAAAGACAAACAGTGGGCTAGTTCCATATTGCCACTAAGAGTACAGATTTGACGAAAAAACTAATAACAATCAGAACAGTGTAAATCAGGTGATCTAGGAGGCCAAGATATAGGCCCATCACGACCGATCCAACGATTGTTAATCCAGGTGTCCAAATAGTTACGCACACGATTATGATATTGGGGAGGTGCGCCGTCATGTTGGAAGTTGCAGATTGACGTCCTCCGAAAGCAAAGGCAGCAGCGGTGGCCGCAGCTTCGGTCTCCTGATCAGTCGCCGTGCGCTGTGCGGGTTCGAGTCCCGTCCCAGGCGAAAGTTTTCTCTTGGCTATGGATGTTGTGATTGTCCGTAGGTGGTATCTGACTGTCGAACGTGGAGGTACCACCTGGTGGATCTCGTAGGCGGAGCCAGAATGTGTGCATGCACATACACGTGTTCCCTCGCCAGAGTCTGTGTGGCGTTCCCTCTTTCCCCTGTATCCCCCTATAGCCCCACGCTACCCAATGGGTGTTTAGGCCATAGGCCTTCGTGGTAGTTGGAGTATAAAAAAAAGGCAAACGCTCGATCAAAAAATTCGAGTATTCTGTACCTGTTAATCTGTTATCGAAAAAGAAAGGCCCGATAACTTCAGGCTCCATTTATTTTGGAAATCCATTTGCCTAACCCAGTAAGGCTTTTCCGTCGCATAATAGTGCATGTTATGCCTGTTGACAACACCTAGGCTGTCATCGCTAAAAAGAACCTTATCCAAGAAAGTAGTGTCTTCACTCACTTTATTTAGCATTATTCTACTAAACTCCATTCGAGCTGCGAAATCCTGAGCATAGATGATATGGATGGTACCTATGCTTGTGTATAATCCTTTGGACAGAAGTTCTGCATATATCAGTTTCTGCTGGGGGATTTTCCTGCAACTTTAATAGAACCTCCAACTGATTCGCCTCGTTGGTGACACTTGGATTATTTATACATTTTTTACTATATTCCACTACTTCACTTGATTCAAAACGTTCTCGTAGTGTGGAAAATGTTTCCGGCCTTGGATGTCGCATATTAGGGTACCGTTGCTTATAAATGCGAGATGCTAGGAAACTATTTATTTGGGCCCAAAATGAACACCATATTCACATTTCTTCTTTAGAAAAAATCATTTTCAAACACGTTTTTATTATAATGCTCACAGTTTGTAACTAATCAACAATTTATTTGTTTCGATGGATGATGTGATATATTAGGGAATTAAGCCGTTCCTTAAAAGACGTGCTAATGAACGAGCAAATAGCCCTCAAAACCCTTATGTATCTAGTATCAAAAAAAAAGCTTATAAAAAATTGTAACCAAACTTGCACAAATATACAGGGTGATTTTTGAGAAACACTACAATATACATTTTTGACCACCCTGTATGAGCAAAAATTAAAATTCGAAAACGTAACAAATAAGATAAAAGCTGAGGTGTGTAAGTTTTTTTTGATATAAAATTCAGCGCTCCAAATTTCAAAATGGCGAACTGAGGGGTTGCCGAAGTGGGGGGTTTTTCTAGACAAAACACCTTATATCTCAGTAGCTAATTACCAAAACACCATAGAATGTTATATCAATCAATCTTCTTTTGAATTGGTCTATCCATGTATCGAATAAAATTTGAGGTATTCCATTTGAAAAATCACAACTTTGATATGTAGGTCGACATTGAGACACCCTGTATAATGGCCAATATTTTAGAAATTTGCCCTCAAATGTCATGCATAACATCTCATAAATAGATTTTCCCAAAATGTATTTGTTTATGAGTAATATTCCATCCATACACGGATGGGCCACCCTGTATTTACTTTCATCCATTCAAAACTATCCAGAGATTCATATCGTGAACATAATTTTATTAGTGCAGCAATTAGTATACATAATAAAACTAATAACAGTGTTGTCACTGCCCCTAATCACTTTACCGTGTTGGTTGTTGAACGATAAATATAAAATTATTTTTTTAAGATAACCTAGTGAGTAATACAGTAGCGTAGCAACGCCTGACAAGGTCCACGACAAAAAAGGGCTTCACAGTCCAGAACCATGAACCAGAACCAGAAACATGTAATAGGAGATTTTTAAAAAATGCCTTAACTTAGACATATGGATAATGTACAGGGTGCTCAATTTTGAAATAAGCATGTTGGTAGCTAGCCCCGGTACAAAAATAAGTCTCACAACTTTAAAGATGGTTTAGCCGAGCTCACAATCACTGCAGTTCTACGTGGAACACCATATATGTATATATATATATATATATACAGGGTGACTTTGAAGTTGAGTCATTAATTTTCAGATAATGATTATAGAAGGAAGATAAACCAAAATATGTGTGTAAAAATAAAAAAAGAAATAAAAAAAATTTGTTACCTTGTTTTATATAGTATCCTCCCGACAAGTATTTCAGTGCGGACCTGTATTTGATCGTGAGGTCCCCTGTGAGGTCTTAAGTCACCTGATTCACGAGCCCGTTGTACTACATTAACAAAGGCACGAGGGGTTGGTTGCACTCGATTGGGAAACCGATCCGCATAAACATGTGCCATTTTTTATTTCGTTTGAGCCACGCAACAGACACTATTCACACGCGACTGACACTAACTGTATGTATAACTGAACTGAATAAAATAAACATCGTTCCAAATTCTTTCGCTTTTTTGTATCCGATGCGATGAACCGATAAGGTGGATTATATCCGTTGTCGCCAAACACGAGTACATGATATTATTGAGACAGGGCGGTACTCAAACTTCCAAAGGGCTATAACTTTGTTACTTTAATTTTACCAGAAAAATGGTAAAGGAAAAAAACATTTCTTTTGATCAGATCTACTCACTGTTAAAATAAATGACTCAACTTCGAAGTCACCCTGTATATACATATATGGTGTATATATATATATGCATCTTACACTTGATATACCTATGTACGTATCTACCACCAAAATTCAGCCAGTAACAATTTGCTTCTTCCAGGAATCAACGGCGCTATTTTTGGACTTGCTGGAGCCGAAAATCATGATTATCCCTTTCCGTACAGAAGCCTTAATAAAAGAAGTGCTAATGATTAGGAACATACATTGTATCTCTTTCACATTTATAATAAAACGCTGTAAATTGTGAGGTAATTTCAGAAAATATTTTTCCTCATTGTATAAATAGAATGTGAAAAAGTGATGCGAAATTGTAGAGAGATCAATATCTAATTAAATAAAGCGTCAAGTAGGTTGTCTTTGTAATATTCACGCAATTCTGGAAAAATGAACTTTGTGTACGCTTCATGTATACGAGTCAACTTTAGAATGCTATGGTATGTTTATTCTTCGCTGGCTATGAAAATCCTGGCATAGGATCGTAGAGTAGAACAAATATCGGTGAAAAATTGTATTTTTGATTTGGCAAAAGATGAAGTTACACACTTTGAATACGTACGCTATACCTATGAATAAACTTTCCTACGCTCTGATATCCTTACTACTGTCATATTATGGAAATTCTTTCAGCTGGTCATATAATATAATGAATATAATTGAACAATAAGTATTGCCAGCTCATTTTTTTTAACAATTGACGGCTACTTTCATATGGCCTAGTATTATTTGCTCAAGGAAAAGATACCGAAAATAAATGAGATTCTTTCATCTGCGAAACATTAGTAGACGTCTTCTCGTTACTTTACATCAATAATTACAGCCTTAGTGTTGGCATCGTTTGTGATTATGAACAAGGTGTCCCAATATTTCATGGAGTTCCACGTATTCTCAGACTCAAAATAAGTCGATTGGACATGCATAAGTCCTTAGTTTGTCCGTTAGAGCGCGTTTCATTTTTAAAACACATTTTTTTCAGAAATATTTGGAACCGATAGTCTGATTTGAACGAAATTTGAACACGTTTTTTGCTGGAAGTCCTAATATTCGACTTAAAAAAAACCTAAAAGGGTTCGAGAAGCGTGAAAACTACTTACTACATAAAATATAGCAGAATGCCTTCGCAACTTGAGAACTTCTTGATCCAAATCATGTTTTTCTCGAAAACGATTCGAGGAGATCTGCTTTCTTATAAGACAAAAATGAAGTAAGTAACATCTGCTGAATAAAAAATTCAGTTTCGTAGGGAGAGTTGCCAGAAAATTCTGCTATAACTTATGCAGGGGTGGGGGTAGTTTTCCGAACCCTTAAGAGTCAAATATTAGAACTTCTGACAAAACATATGTGTTCCAAATTTCATTCAAATCGGACTACCGGTTCTTAAGATGTCTGAAAAAATATGTTTTGAAAAGCAAACTTTCACACCTAACGGACAAACAAAGCACTTTTGGATAGAGGTATGTAAATCATGTCCGATCGACACATTTTTAGTCTAAAAATGTCTATGTCCAAGGAATATTGAGACACTCTGTATATGCAACAAAGTATGTGTGAAATATGCCTAATGGGCGCGTAGAATTAACAAAGCTAGAAGTTAAGAAATATACTACCGCCGAAACATTGCGATGCACCCTCCCCCACCCCCTACAACTGTCACCACATTATTTTTATCGCTGAAAAATGATCAGGAGTCTTTGAAACGTCTATAAGTGAAGTTCAACTGATGTTTATTTTTTAATTTTTGCCTTTAGCTCCGTCGCCGTTGGCATTAAAATAATCCGCAATAACTACAACTCTTTCGTCCTTGGCGTAGCAGTAACCTGTGTGAAAATTTAATAAAAATCCGAGCGGTACTTTCTTTCCGACAGTGTAAAACGTCGTTTATAAAAACATTATTCATTGAGTTTATATACATTTTTAATAACAAGGTGGACATTTCACAACAAGGTGGACAATGGTTTTCAAAAGAATTGGATTATAAGAACCCTTTGTAATACTTAAGGATATTGTAATAGCATATAACAGAGACTAATCAAAAAGTTATAGAACAGACACAAAACGACGAAGTAAAGAATTAATTTCCTATTTCAGTAATGCCGTGGCTGAGGTTATCGGTTACTTCAAATACTGGGCAAAAAAATCTCCCACAGCTCTACTGCATTGTATTCGCTTACCGAAATGGAAGATAGTAGCACTCATCATACACCTCTGTTACTGCGGTATATTGTTGAACAAAGCTAGATCGACGTGCGCTGATTTTGACGATATGAAGGAAATTTTAGTAGCATACGATGTGATGTTACCCTCTTCCATTTTGGTACCCGATTTGAAGCAGAGTAGTCACCAGTCCAGCGGTTTTTCAAGATTGGAGCTTGACCTTAAGACCATTTTTGAACCAAATTGGGTCACAATCGCATTTCAACTTTATTTCGGGATGTTCCTTCACTTTCCTGTTTGGTGGTTTGTGTGGTATATAGGTTTAAAATACAGCAAAATATCTGTCGCATAGTCCAATTTGTTTATTTAGTTTTTTGTGACTTCAATTTCATTTGTTTTGACCGTTTTATTGAGTTTCATTCCAAGTTGGATCTAAGACCGACCCTTACATCTACAGGTCTGTAGGTCTGCTGTCATATGTAAAGTGATGGAGTGGTGCATGAATGGGGATCTTCTGGAGTACCTAGAACGTGACGGCTTGATTAGTCACAGGCAGTGTGGTTTCCAGCACCAGCGATCCACAGGGTACCTCCTAGCCTACATTAAAGAACTGTGGAGTACATTCATCCAGTCTTATGGTGAGGCTCATCACGAAATCGTTCGTTCAGATGTGGCATGCTGCCCCCTTAAATGTACAAACTTCTATCCTGTGGACTCTCCGGGAAGCTTTGCAGATAGGTGGTGGCTGACTTCCTCTCTGGCTGCAACATATCCGTCGTAATTGACGGATTCTCCTCTTCGTCTTACAACGTCAACGCGGGTGTCCTCAAGGATCGGTCTTGGTTCCGACATTGTTTAACTTGCATATCAACGACCTTCTTTCTTGTACGGTCAATCCACTCCACAGATGATGCAGGAATTCATAGTGATAAGCAGATATCTGCTGGTGAGCTGGACAAAAAAAGACTAGCAGCGATTTCGTCTCTCACTGCATGGACACAAAAATCTGGAACAGCTTAATGCTTCCAAAATGCAGTACTGTACCTTGAAGATAAGAAGCGCTCATCCGGTTTCGAAGGATGGCCGAGTTCTACCAAAGAGCCATTCATTTGGGCTGGTCAGACTCCAAATCACCGAGCACTGGCACGAATATATCTCGTCGATAGCGACAGTTGCTGAGAAATAGATAGGCTATTATTATGGCTAAGAAGTACTTTTCTTCACATGACGCCTCGCTCGGTAAAAGACCCAGGTAAGACCTAGCCTCGAGTACTATTTACATGTTTGGGATGCTGCTGCCCCGACTACATTATCCATGCTGGATGATGTGCATAGCAGGACTTTGCTAAACAGACCCGCCTCCCATGCTAACCGTGTCAACTTCGTTAATCGTCCCGAGAGTGACGAGATTCTGGAACAGTCTACCTGAACAGGCTTTTCAATTCCTACTAACCTTAGGCTGTTCAAAAAGAATTTAGTTAAGATCCTCATAGCAGCAACGGTGGTCTGGTATTTAGGTCTCTGCCTGTGAGGCTACATAGGTTTAAAAAAAGTTCGACTCTGTAGAATCAACTTTTACTTTAACCGTTTTCTCTGTAGACCTCTCATCTTAAAATAAAAAGCAAACACTGTTGATATGTGTTGGTTTTCTGTATACATAAAAATCAATACGCATATCAATACGTTTCCGTAAGAAAGGACACCTTCTTGCCCAACTCCAATCGTGAAGCTGGTTATTAGTTTTTCATTGTTCATTGGATCAAACAGTGTCTATAATTGTCCCTAGTATGTGGCCATATTGCAAAGATATCTTCTACATAGCGCCATCAGACCTCAGGTTTCGTAAAAGTCCGCCTGCCTTAACACCGCATCCATTATAAACTTTTGAGCAGCCCTGTAATTCTTGTCCATAATCGATAAAACAGCTTCGGCGCCTCATTTCCACGGGGTGGCCTTCGTCTGCTTTCCAACACTTTCACTTATCAACCGCGCATTGGCTCTGTTCTCCAGTCAACTTAGCGCGACGCAATAATTTTGTAAAATTCCGTATTTTGTTACTATCAAGTCAAGTTCAACGGTCTGATAAACCAACCGCGCTAATCTAGAATTAGGTCAAATGTCACTAAATTTCTGGTAGTGTGTCAAACGTGCAGTATTTTTCAGTCAAACTCACAAGTCGATCGACACCATCATAACACATTTACGGAAACCCAACAAGCCCAAAATTCTCAGTTTTGTGGAACTTACAGATGTATCTGGGACGCGTTTGATATAAAAATTCTTTACTGGTAGGTACGCTTACATATATTGTTTGATAAGTAAATATTTTACATACAATAGATAATTTTTGTTTGCACTTGATAAGCCGGCCATTCTAAATGGGCTTGGGGCAGGTAATATGCTATATTCATACAGGTGTGTCCTTGTATGATTTAATAAAAGTCAATCACTAAGTTTAGACCTAGGGATTCACTTAGCTTGATATTCAAGCTATTTGACTTGACCTGTAATCAAGTCAAGCCAAAGTCAAGTATTTGATATTAGCAATCCAATATGAAGTCTAGCAGTTTCTACGACTGTTGTGAAGTGCTTAAAAATTCAGGTAGTCTTGTTATTACTTGACAATTTTTGTAATATAAAAACGGGTAGATTATGAGTGCACAACGACAGAACTATATTTGTCACAAGTTTCAGAAAAAAACGAACTATGTATAAAAATGTAACCTCAAGTAAAAAAATACATTTCTCCATCAGCTGATACAAAAAATGAAAAAGATCTAAATTAGCTTTTCACGAGTTAAGACACATGAGGGTCCAAACGGATTCCTAATGGTGGCGACATTAAAAATAATGGTAGAGACAACTGCCGAATTTTGTTCTACACTACTATATCATAATAATTATTTTTAAGTTGTGCTGGTTATACAACATATATAATAGCTAAAGATGTATGGACATTCATTTTGTTCTTGAAAAACAAGTAATTTGTTGTTGAGCTGCTTTTGTCGAAGAAGTTCAATTTTAATTTGTTTTTATGTTTATAGAAAACATGTGTATCTCTTTTGAGTGTTCACACTATACGAAAATATAATTTTCATAAATGGCGCTGTGTGGCCCAGAAGCCCTAGGTCGGCCGGTGACCTTAGGCGGTTTCCGATTTTTTCTTCCTACCGTGCTTGTCCTTGAATCCATCTAATTTCAACGACACTATCTAACGGTTTCGTGTTCTTTGGTTTGGCGACGCTGTTTGCATGCATCATTTGAGACCAGTGTACACGGCGACTCATGACAATTTTCGATTTTCTACATGGTTATTTGCATTAAAATACAAAATACGGCTCATCGGTTGTACAAATAACTATCACTGAAGGTTTTTAGTTTAACAACAACATAATTTGCCATCAAGTAGTTTAGTAATAAAAAATCAAATCAAGCATTAACGTTTCAAGTACAAATTTTATTTTCAAGACAAGTCAAGACCAAATATCAAGCTATATGACGTAATAAATCCCTACTTATACCATAACAAAACTAAATTCTAATCAGTAAATTCTAAATATTACTGGTGAATATTTTCCGTAGCTACAATAAAGTTGTTTCTTATAGAAAAAATTATATCCCACTTGAAGATTCTGTTAACTTATTTAAAACAATCTAGCAATATTCTCAATAAAATTATTGTATTCAATGTTTATTGGAAAACTAACACATTTTTTATTATGAAATAATCATGCCATTAATAATTTATCTCACATCCTGGAAATTAGTATTGTTAAAAATATGGGTATTGCATACATATGTCTATGCACTTGCTTGAAATGTGTAAGTTTTGTGCTAGAAAAATATAATTAAATGCCGACGTGTGCCATAAGATCGAATATTTTTATTGTTTAACTTGGTGGTACCATTCTTTTGACGCGGAAAGTAAAAGATCTATAAATAGAATGTATATATTTATCGTATCTTGATTAACTTGTAGGATAACAATTTTTTGAAGTAATATGAGCTGTTACGAAGGAGAAAAGATAAACTTGGACGAACCGAGATATGATCAAGACACATATATTGGTAGAGCTAGACATTTTTTTGAAATCACAAATCCATTGAATTTGTTTGTATCATATAGGCAGTTAGAAGAAGCGCGGTGTCTAGTAACAAAATATAAGTAAGTATGTTAGAAATATGGTATATTTATGTTGCGACCTGTGGTGAGACACCCGCGAGTAAGCTTATCATTATCATGTAAAGAAAGGTCAAGGAGAGCCAGTAGTTGAAATCATTTTTGAAAACTTTAGATGTCTTGAATTGACCAAACCTTGATGATGAACTTTATTCACTAGCAGCTGTAGTCAAAGTAGAGATTCATCCTTACAAATGAGATCAGAGAGTGTATCAGAATGTCCAGAGCAAAAAAGTTAAAAAATGACCCTGTACATTATAGATCATTAATATTGCTTAAGAATAATTGATTATATATCTACATGTCTGCCATTCTCGTAGAATTTGGATAATTTGTTAATGAATGTGGACGAAAATTTCTATTGCAAATAATACATCATTGTATGCTTATTTGATAGGAATGTCAATAACCTATTAACATTATTCGTTCCACAAAATAGTTATGTTAAACTTCGTTATGTTTATACGCGTATCTTTGGTGACAAAAATACATAACTTATTGCTTATTTAGCGAAACGAAATTATCTAGAGATTTTAGGAGACTTTTTATTTTGGATAAATAGCAAGTAGAGAATATGGCTGACTTACAATTAGATATTCGTCATATATTATTATGTTCATACCGTTTCGTCCTGCTTATCAACGCAAATATCTTACTTTTAAATTCGTTATGTTGTATATGTATATTGGAATTTGTAATCCTTGGCTAGTAAATTATTAACTCTCAAAATGGCGGACTGACAGGTTGTCAAGGTTGAGCGTTTTTGTAGATTGAATCAACAGGTAATTATACAGGGTGACTTCGAAGTTGAGTCATTTATTTTAACAGTGAGTAGATCTGATCAAAAGAAATGTTTTTTTCCTTTACCATTTTTCTGGTAAAATTAAAGTAACAAAGTTATAGCCCTTTGGAAGTTTGAGTACCGCCCTGTCTCAATAATAATATGTTCGTGTTTGGCGACAACGGATATAATCCGCCTGACCTGTTCTTCGCATCGGAAACAAAAAAGCGAAAGAATTTGAAACGTTTATCACGATGTTTTTCGTCAGTCGCGTTAGTGTTTGTGTTTGTGTTTGTATGTGTGTTTGTTGCGTGGCTCAAACGAAATCAAAAATGGCACATGTTTACGAAAATGCTGAACTTGTGGACATGATTCTTATTTACGGGGGGGCAGTATTTACAAAATGCTCCCGGATGCATCATGGATTTATGCGAATCGGTTTCCCAATCGAGTGCAACCAACCCCTCGTGCCTTTGTTAATGTAGTACAAAGGGCTCGTGAATCAGGTGACTTAAGACCTCACAGGTCAGGGCATGCTGCTCCAAGACCACACGATCAAATACAGGTCCGCACTGAAATACTTGTCGGGACGATACTTTATTAAACAAGGTAAAATTTTTTTTTATTTATTTTTCTATTTTTACACACATATTTTGGTTTATCTTCCTTCTACAATCATTATCTGAAAATTAATGACTCAACTTCAAAGTTGTATGTTATAACAATATTCTCATCTTGGAACAATTTAACGGAATACGTGATAAAATATGGAATATTCTACTCGAAGAAAATTGTTTGTGTTTTTGATTTTATGAATGTTCCATATTTTATTGTAAATGTAAAATAAAATATATTCAGAAAGACCCTTCCAAAAGGAGATAATTGATATACGCACCATAACGCTTAAATCATTAGTTAGACAGTCCGTAGTACATCAATTTTCAACTTCCATTCTACACTAATATACAGGGTGACTTCGAAGTTGAGTCATTTATTTTAACAGTGAGTAGATCTGATCTAAAGAAATGTTTTGTCCTTTAACATTTTTCTGGTAAAATTAAAGTAACGAAGTTATAGCCCTTTAGAAGTTTGAGTACCGCCCTGTATCAATAATAATATTATCGCATCGGAAACAAAAAAACGAAAGAATTTGAAACGCTTATCACGATGTTTTTACTACAATTTTATTCAGTTGTATTCAGTCAATGTGTCAGTCGGTAACGCGTGAGTGAATAGTGGTGTTTGTTGAGTGGCTCAAACGAAATAAAAAATGGCACATGTTTACGAAAATGCTGAACTTTTGCACATGATTCTTTACAAAATGCTGCAGCGGCATCACGGATTTATGCGGATCGGTTTCCCAATCGAGTGCAACCAACCCCTCGTGCCTTTGTTAATGTAGTACAAAGGGCTCGTGAATCAGGTGACTTAAGACCTTACAGGGGAGCGCATGCCGGTGCTCCAAGACCGCACGATCAAATACAGGTCCGCAATGAAATACTTGTTGGGAGGATACTTTATAAAACAAGATAACATTTTTAATTTTTTTTTAATTTTTACACACATATTTTGGTTTATCTTCCTTCTACAATCATTATCTGAAAGTTAATGACTCAACTTCAAAGTAAAATTCTTAAATTAATTTGATCACCCCGAATTTCAGCTTGCTATCTAGTTCTATTTAAGAAGTAAGCATGGAGGACCTTAATATTGAATATACGAAGAATGCCGTTTAACATAACTTTTCAAGCAATTTTGGTGTTTGTGGAGCATTAAAAGTGGTGTCATGTACATACGACGCATTCACATACGTCTATGTTTTCCACTGTACGTACACAATATTGAAAATACTGCATACTGCTTGTTCCATTGCTTCCTTGCCGACATTTGTTGGGGAGAACAAATGATCAAAAACTTAAAAAATGATGAATAACATTTAGAAATAGTAACATTTAAAAAAACTGCTCCAAAGACTTTATTATAAAGCCTATACTAACGAAGCTCAAGAACCATTTGAAACTTTTTGTTCCTTGCATGGGCATAGTTATGAAACTACCGCCACTGAACCGATATTCTGAGCAGCTAATTATTGTAACGAAAACACCGTATTTACTGTCCAAAGTCTAATTTATTACTACTATATTACAACACTTGCGATTGATTTATCATATATTAATAACCATGTCCATAACGTGACTGTTGACTGCCTGACTGATTCCGCTAACTGGTTGGGTATTTATTGCTCTATCGACGAGTCGAGAAATATTCGAGCGTTTTCGTGAACTTCCATGGAAGTGCGAATGATGCAGAAACGCGACCACGGTCCATATATGGTCGTATAATTCTGGTTGCCTAAGTATCGATCTCACTTCTAGCCACTTGTCGAATCTTTTAGTTGATGTACGAGGATGTTTATCGCTGGTTTCAGTATTAAGAGGGCGTTACATTATGATATATCTTGCAGGTGTGGTGAATCCCTACCGGTCGAAGTGACAACAGACCAACTATGGCGCGCAAAAACCTTATACGATTCTGCATTTCACCCAGATACTGGAGAAAAAATGCCTCTCGTAGGCAGAATGTCAGCTCAGGTATGATACTCTATTCTTTATTTCCAAACATGAACTTTTCCTACAGGATGCATCTCTACAAAATATTAGAAATCAGTCATAATTGAAATGAACAAGTGTGTTATTGTTTAGGAAGAATGAAGTAACACTAAAATAATTTTTTAAAATCGAAGCTTACAATTTTTTCAACTGACTCACTTTCAAATCTTCCTCCTTCCCTTTTCTTTCTTTCTTTTATATTTATTCGTGGTCAATCAAGAAAACTCTAGATAAATGGTCATAAGGACTACTCTGACAAACAGTGGCAGTTAGAAGATAATTTATTTACTAAAACATTTTATGTATGTTTGACTAGAATTCCCAGGTCAAGTAAAGAAATTAATATTGATATAATGGCTTTATTTTTAGGTACCAATGAATTTACTAATAACAGGAGGTATGATTACGTTCTATAAAAGTACTCCAGCGGTGGTGTTTTGGCAATGGTTAAATCAGTCATTCAATGCTTTAGTCAATTATACAAACAGAAGCGGCGATGTGCAACAGACAAATAAGTAAGTAAGTATATTCCTCTCCTATTTGTAACTCATTGAATATTTTAAAACCTTAAGCTGCATTTTTAACGAACACCGTGAAGGAGAGAAAGGCGGAAACAGTCCAAAGGTTCGCAAGTCATGCTCAGAAAAAAATAATGCCCACTCACATTTTACTGAGATTGTTAAGATGTTATTTACCAATCAAAAGTCGGACGAAATATATATCGATATATGATAACCTCAAAGATACTACTTTTTAGTTGAGTTTTTTAGACTTGAGTAAGCCCTTTGTATAAAAGCTATTAAGAACCTTTTTTGTTTAGAATGAGTAACCTGAAAGGATTTGACCGAGACGAAAAAAAAACCGTTTAATAAGATTACTTGAACCTTGATTCGTATTATTTTCGAGGTTGCCAAGTACCTTATTAGCTTATTTAAATTTAACAAAAACGGTGCTGAAGCAAGCTGTAAAAGTCAAAGCCAATAAGTGATGTATAGCATCTTGTTTAATGGGTATTTAAGTACTGATTTTTCGACATACGAGTAGATCTGACAACATCCGTTAGTGACACTTTCAGTTTGGCGTCATTTACCTTTGCTACTCTATCAGTTCCAATTTCCTCCATATCAAAGTGCCATTACATAAAGTTTATTATATGGAGTGGAATTTTACCTATTATACCAACTTTTTTTGCCAATCCTTTGTTTTATTGAAAAATAGTTATAGATATACGTATATAGTTATAAGTAATTATAGTTCCCTTAATTTTCAGGCAAATCTTTACATCGTATGTTTTGGCAACTAGCGGTGCTGTAGGAACGGCTTTGACTTTGAATAGCTTAGTAAAGGTACGTGTAAGCTATTTTTTACTGCGAACACTGTAGGTTAAAAGTTATAGTGAGTAATTAAAAATTCCAAGCTTTCCCACGTAGAAATGCTACAGAGGGTTGACTGCTGTATTCTGGTAATCCCGAATAGCAAGTCACGAACATTCTCTTTACTTTGCTTGTATGTTGTTTCTGTGATATCCAAAATTGTCCTCTGTCCTCCAGTGCCAGCGCTCCATTTTGAGGTTATGTTACAAATATCTGTTTGCAACAAATTGTTCATGCTTTTGATTTTTATCATCTGCCTGAAATGTGTTACTATCCAAAAATGAGACATAGCCTCACATTAGAAGAGCGCTGACGCTGACCAGTAAAAATCTAGAAATGCCCCAGCATTTATAAAGGAGATTAAAGACTACGGAAATCAAGAATGCCATAAAGGCGTCCTACAATTGTAGGAACGACTCACGATGTGGCACTTAATATCATTTTTCTCAACTTTTTCTAATAGGCTACATGATTTATATCTAATTTCATAGAATAAATGACAATCCCTTACAGTATTTGCCTTAGGAAAATAAAATATAATGATTTCAATTTTTGAAAGCGTAATGTGGATAAATCGGTCCAATGTAAAAGAAAAATATTTTTCATTGTTTATGCAAAACGGTGGAATATTATCGGACATGATGTGACGCCATACAAATTGTAAACAAAAAAACCTCATCCATCCATCCATTCTAAGTCATATATATTTTCAAATGAAAGCTTTACGGTCTTTCAGGTCTGAAAAAATATAGTATTAGCTTTTTGGTCTAATTGAACCGATATTAACTATTTGAGACTTATTTAAAAAGTTAGTGTCAACTAGCCTACTATGGCCAAAATGCGTGATCAACTAAAGTATTCTATTCTTTTAGTCCATGCCCCCTTTAATTGGTCGTATGGTACCTTTCGCAGCAGTAGCAGCAGCCAATTGTATCAACATTCCACTGATGAGAGCCCAGTAAGTATCTTCATTCCAGGAATTGTAATCTAATATTCTTAGTTGTATGTTGTCCTATATCTCAATGGATTTTTAAAACTTCTGTTGTGTTATACAAATGCTTCTTTTCAGAGAGCTTAAACATGGTACTCCAATTTTTGATGATAAAAATAACAAATTAGGCTACTCCAAAGCTGCAGCCCAAAGCGGAATTGCTCAGGTAGTTCTTAGTCGAATCTGTATGGCACTACCAGGAATGGGTAAGAATAAAATGTTTATTTTTTTGGGAACAAATGATAATTATGCATATTTTCGTTTAATACAAAATACATAACTCTGCATAACTTAGAGAGGTTTAGAATTCTTATGGTTTAGATACCGTTGAGTACCGTCAACATAATTATAGAAGTGGTGGGAGTTCCGTTTGCTATCTCATAAATGACATAATGGTTACATTCAGTTCCACCTAATGAATTCAAATAGATTAGAACTAGGAGGAGGATATTTACATTGCACTCTTGGTGGCCAAAATTGTGTAGTGCCAGTGCATATTTTTTACCAGAAAAGACAAACCAATACATCGGCGTACATTTGTTTCTCTAAAAAGGATATTCAAGTAGCTAGTCGTAAAGGCTGTAGTCACGGACAGCGGGCAGACCTAGTATGTGTTGTGATGTGACTTGCCCATGTTATTGTTAATAAACACGGACGATGTTATTGTTAATAAACAACAATAAATTAAAAAAGTCAGAAATGAAAGTAAATATTTATTAACGGTACAGCATATGAACAATTTTGCTCAACCCGGTGAAAGATTCGAAACATTGTTTTCATTAAACCTCAGTACTGGCAGAATACCTAATATTGGAACTAGTGGGACACCTTGCTTGAATTGTATAAATTATTTCTGGGTTGTTCTGTACGGATATTGTTTCCAACACGGCTGTCCATTATACGAGGGACCGTCTTTTGTACATATAACACGGATAATCTAGTAGAAGCTGCAACTCTCAAACACCTTCCCTAACTCCTAGATATTTATAATTTAAATCGCGGTACTTCTGCATTTCTCTGGCACAGACAAACTCATAGAACTTCAAAATTAACATCATTTTTCCATTGCTCAAATAACGCAATTTTTGTTGTTCAATTCATCAATTGTGCAGTTTTTTCGAAAATGGATTTTCCACTCCCCAGCCCCCGATGTTGCACTTTTCCGATCTGCGAACTGCCGGCGCCCCTAGCTCCTAGCACCTGCTCTTATCAGATCACTCGGATCCCCCAACTTCTTGCCTCCTTAGGAATAACTTTTATCGTTTGCTCGAAGTGACCCCGAATCTCCATGATATATGATGATCATTGGGTTATTCTCTCCACGTTGAAAGAGGTACAAGTCCCTACCTCAACTACTGTTGATGTGGAGTGTATCCCTCTTCAGATATTGCATTTTCCGGGTAGGTAAAATAGCTTGCCCCCTTGCCTTCCAAATTCCATTAAGCCCTCAGGTGGTATACTTTGGCATCAGGGCTCCAATGTTATCTCTAAGTATGAAATACCAATCCGTCAACTCCATCAACCCGGCGGATCGTCCATTGCATGTGCTATACAGAGATCAACCATTGAGTCCAATGCTTAGCTTCTGCAGATGGGCATAACGATAAATACTCCCCGATGGCCTCCAGGACTCATTATCGGAGTTGATCAGAATCACCTATTGTAAACAGAATCCTTTCATCACTTATACAAGTGACATTGACACAGACAGACGTGACTTGTTGACGCATACTCAGGACCTATTTGGGGGCTTACTGCAAAAGAACCTTCGGGAATTTTACGCACCCATTAGCCATATTCCACACATCATAGGTTTTCCTGTGTATTTGTCTATATAACTTAGAATGACAGAGAAATGTTTTCGTTACGCGTCTCCTGCTATTTGGTATTAGCCTAATCGTATTAACAAATTTCCTCGAAATAATTGTAAAGTCTGGTTTTATTGATGCAAGTTATTCAAGGAGGTTTTTGAAACATGAACACATAAAATGGGTACACCAATTTTTGTGACAACAAAGAATGAGAAAACGTGTCTTTTGGGATTAAATCGAAAGTGTTGTCAGCAACCAAAAAACCCTTCAAATAAATATTTAGGAGACCTACAGAATGAGACCAGACGTAAAAAGATCCGACTAATAGTAAAAAAGTTATGGTCGAAAATCGAGGCAAATTGATTGTGGCTCTTGTTGCTAATGCGACGATAATTTCACGCCGCTACTTGAAATTTTTCAAATCCGTAGGCTTCATGCTTCTAGATAACCACAACAAAATTGGAGTCGATTGGTCAAGTAGTTTTTGAGAATTTCTAATTGCTTATCCCAAAACACCTGTCTTCACTAGTAGTTTACTGAGCAATATACAGGGTTCGCTCAAATGGCATTTTAAAGCGAAATACACGAATTGACCTTGCCGACATGAATCACAAACCTTTTTGGAAGATAATTGTGATTTTAATGCCAAAAATGAAGGGGATAAACAATTAGAAATTCTCAAAAACTACTTGACCAATCGACTCCAATTTTTTTTTGTTATTTAGAAGCCTGCGAATTTCAAGTATCTGCGTGAAACTATCGTCGTATTACCAACAAGTGCTAAAACCTGCATCTTGCCACGGTTTCGGGCCATAACTTTTTAACTATCAGTCGGATCTTTTTATGTGTGTCCTGATTCTGTGGGGATCATAAATACCTAACAATCTTATTCAAGTGTTTTTTCGTTCCTGCCAACACCTTCGATGTCGGATCTTTTTACGTCTAGTCTCTGTAGGTCTCCTAAATATTTATTTGAAGAGTTTTTTGGTTCCTGACAACACTTTCGATTAAATCCCAAAAACACATTTTCTCATTCTTTGTTGTCGAATAAAAAGTTTTCCCACAAAAATTGGTGTACCCATTTCATGCGTCCTTGTTTTAAATACCCCCTTGAACAACTTGCATCAATAAAACCAGACTTTACAATTATGTGGCAAACCAGAGGTGTTTTCGTCTAATATGCTTAGACTAATCAGCGCCCGGCGTAACGGTCCGCTTGATTGTTTTGCGCGTACTGCGCCGGTGCTTCGGTAAGAGCTGCCGCGTCTGACGCTATGGGAAGAGGCAACGTTGCCATATGGACAGTAACTACCGATAGGCAGAGGAATGGACCAATTGATGGGCCTGTTTGATCTGTTTAATTTTCCTATTGTATAGTTGTAGTCACCGTTCTTGGCTGGTCAAAGTAAGACTACCAGTATCCCTTTATATATCTCCATCTCCCTCATATATAGACAGAAAAACATACGTTTTTCAGTTGTGTGTCTTCGTCTCGAAGACTTTGTAGTTACGTATGAGTGCCCTTCAATCATATTTGTCAGAGTGACAACTTACTTGACATCGGCGTGCAATTTGAGTTGTCATATTATCAATCTTCAATATAAAATTGTACAATGCTCGGAAATACGATCAAAGGAGAAGGCCGACAGCTCGTGCTAAATTTATTGGAGTGTTTACAGGAAGAGAATGACAACTGCGGTCCCCTGTTATCCACTTCGTGTGTACTGGAGAGAGTAGCAGATGCCCATGGTACGGAGACTCGATCTGTTTACTTATTTCATATGAAGTTGATGACGTAATCGTCAAGAACGGTGACTACAACTATTCATGCTTGTAACCATTTGTGTTTCCCAGAGGGTGCAACTTGTGCTGAACTTAATGCTTCATAAACTGATGACGGCATTGCATAGAAAGTGCAGAGTCAACCTACTTAACCCCATTTTTTTGAAGTCCACCACTTCCGTGTCACGATATAACTATTGTATTCGACTCAAAGGCCAAGGCAGACGTGCGAGCCAAGATCTTTGCTGCCAACTGCCACCATGGACGTCCCCCCAAACGCCCAAGTACCGTCAATTCAAAGATGTGTCTACGCTATGCGGGAGGTAATATTCAGGCATAAGACAGTAAGACGAGTGCTCTTGTCGCTCGACATCAACAAAGCTTCTGGTCCGGACTTGATTCCTGCCATTGTACTGAAAAGGTGTGCCGCGGAGCTTGCTCCAGTTCTTTCGCGTCTCTTCCAGATATCTTATGAATCCGGCACCTTCCCAGAAAACTGGAAATTTGCTCATGTTCAACCAATCCCAAAAAAGGATCTAACTACAGACCTATAGATCTGCTTTCTGTTATACCTAAGTAAGGTGATGGAGAGGTGCATAAATCGCGAGCTTCTGGACTACTTCGAACGTCGCAGCTTGATTAGCGACAGGCAGTATGGTTTCCGGCACCAACGATCCACAGGGGACCTCCTAGCTTATGTCACGCAATCTCATCCAGTCTTATGGTGAGCTCATGTCGTTGCTCTTGACATCACTAAAGCTTTCGATCAGCTGTGGCACGCTGCCCTCTTAAGCAAACTTCCATCCTATGGCCTCCCAGAAAAACTTTGCAGATGGGTGGCTCATTTTATCTCTGACCGCAAGATATCCGTCGTAATTGACGGGTTCTCCTCTTCATCCCACAACGTCAACGCGGGTGTTTCCCAGGGATCATCGGTCTTGGCTCCGACACTGTTTCTCTTACAGCATGGGACGCAACAATCTTGTACAGTTCAATGCTTCCAAAACATAGTACTGTACTTTGACGAACAAAAAGCGTCCTAGCCCTCACCCGGTTTCGATGGATGGCCGAGTTCTGCCAAAGAGCCACTCATTTCGGCTGGTCGGAGTCCAGATCACCGAGGACCTGATCTGGCACGAACACATCTCGTCAATAGCTGCAGCTGCTGGGAAAAAGCTAGGCTATTTGATTAGGGCTAAGAAGTACTTTTTTTCGCATGATTTTCTGACTCTATACAAGGCCCAGATAAGGCCTAGCCTCGAGTACTGCTCACACGTTTGGGGTGCTGCCGCCCCGACTACATTATCCATGCTCAATGCTGTCCAGAGGAGGGCGGTCGGACTGATCGATGACTCTTCTCTAACAGACAGTCTCAGGACTCTTTCGCACCCGCGGGCCGTCGGCGAACTAGCTCTTTTCTACCGGTCTTTGCTCCTCAGAGCTCTCTTCCATGATGCCAGACCCGCCTGACTTTTGCGCCCATCCTAACCGTGTCGAACTTCGTACATTCAGAACTGGCCGATACGACTGCTCCTTTGTCCCGAGGGTGCCGAGATTGTAGAACAATCTACAAGAGGAATCTTTTCCCATTCTACTAACCTTAGGCAAAAATCGTATTATCAAAATTTCTTTGGGATCATCATAGCAGCCGCGGTGTTCCGGCATTTAGGCGTGTGCGACTGCTTGGATATAAAAAAAGTTACATTCAGCTTGCGATAGAAAAACCGACCCTTAGATACGTAATTTGAATTAACTATGCTTCTTGATGTAATTTGTTTTTAGTGATAACACCAATGGTAATGGACTATCTTGAAAAACGAGGGACTTTGTGTAGATATCCTTGGTTAACATTGCCGGCCACATTAGGAACTCTAGGGCTGTGTTTGACTTTTGCTACGCCGCTGGCTTGTGCGTTCTTCAAGCAAAGGGCATCCATTTCTTTCAAACACTTGGAACCAGAAGTACAGGTAATGAAAACAAAAATGTTCCTTAAATCAGAAATCTGCTTTCATTTGCGTAACCAACCTCTCTCATATCCATCCAAAGCGCTGCTTCTAGAATGAAAACTTTTGAATACAAATAATTACTTTAGTTTAACGTTACGCAGGGTGGACCATAAAGAATTTCAAAACCGCATTGCTGGTGAAAGGCATGCGGGGGCGGGACACGGGTAGTGGGGATAAGTAGCTTGGTGCTCGGAAATTTAGTCACCATGGTATGTTTCACCGGTGAGCAGCGTGCGTTCTGTGTTAAGGCTTATTACAGAAATGGAGATTCGATGCACTATTCCGCGGTGCCTGTTTTGCGCTGAGTTTAGTTTACATGATCTAAATCAATTTCCTAGTGACAGTGTGATCAGAGAAAGGGCCAGAAAGTTCGAGTCTACCGGTTCGACACTGAATCCGAAACCTGCGGAGCGTTCATGGTCAATACGAACAGAGGAAACTCTAACTTGCGACGTCCGTACGGCGCGATCAACAGTTATCATCACGAAAGAGATCAGCTGAGCTCGCCATATCAAGAACATCTGAAAGGCGTATTTTGTTAAAAGACGTCATAAACTTGATAAAGTGTATTTATTGGAACCGCAGGACCTCCATCTACGCCGTGCGTTTGACCAAACCACGTTAGAGCGCTTTCTAAGTTTGAAAAATATTCTGTTTTCTGATGAATCTCATTTTCTTTTGAGTGGATTTGTCAACAAGCAAAATTAACGGTATTGAGACGCAGAAAATCCAAAACTAAAACACCAACGACTTTTGCATTCGCGTTATGTTACAGTTTGGGCCTATTTCTTCGAAAACGAGCAATGCCAGACTGTAACAGTAAATTCTAATCGCTACATAGCAATGCTACGTAACTTTTTCTTTCCACAACTGCATACTTTTGAAGCCCACCACAGCAGAACATGGTTTCAACAAGATGGCGCGTCATTTCATACAGCAAACTTCTTTCTCTGTGGATACCTTAAGAGCCGCTTTTACGCCACTAAGCCGGCGATGATTGCCTACCTCAAGCACAACATTTTCGAGGAGATGTCCGCTATCCCACGAGCGATGTGGCAGCCAGTTTCACGAATCTGAAGTCGAGTTTCGAGTAGTGCGTACGTCTCTATGGTTCACATCTCAATGATGTTATTTTTAACAAAATAAAAATCCCATATGTCTACTTCATAAAAAATATCAATTTTCTTCCCTACGCCCTGTAGTTTTTTCTATGATTTTTTAAAATTCGCTCTGTATTAGAATTCAATGAAAACAAACATTCAACCATTTATAAAAATTATGAATATGAAATAAAAATAAATAAATAACATTGGTCTGCAAAAAAATCCTCCTTCAAATAATTATGTCATAAATATGAAGCTTTTGATGCACTGAATCTGTTCCCGGTGGCCGATTTTTTCTATCACGTCTAGATTTTTCAATATGATTTTTTTTTCAAAATATCATACAGTCAGGTTTTTTAATGCGTTACGTATGTTATGGCAATATGTACAACTCAGGTATTCTATACAAAACCTAGGCAATATATGGAATACTTGGGTTGCCCAGGCAATGTATGAAATATTATGAATATTATTATCCATTACATACTTTACCTAGGTAATGAATACAATTCCTAGGGATAATAGAGTACCTGCTGTTCCACCGGCAATGTGTAAAATAAATAGATCTTGGTCTAATTTATCAATGTTAACAGGTATACCTATGAAGGACAAATAAAACAAGTTGTATTATTTAAAATCAACTTTCTTAAAATTAACAACTAGAATGCTTTTTAAAAATAAGATTTATGAAAAAGGTACAAGAAAAAATATCTCTGTTACTACAGTAAAATTGATGTGAATCTAAAAACTATTCTGATTATAAGTAACATAATGTAATTTTCTTTGCTTACAAGGACGCATTTCGTTTAATGCTTGCCTACCGGTACGTACAACCCGTTCCTTGCTCTCGTCTTTTACAAACATTACCGGCTACGCATTCGATATTGTATAGAATACTTAGGCAAAGTATAAAACAAATAATATTTTACATTACCTACACGGTTTAGGTATTATATACATTACCTAGGTATTGTATAGATTATAGAATACCGGATTATACAGATTGCCTGTAACATATATATACAGGGTGACTTTGAAGTTGAGTCATTAATTTTCAGATAATGATTATAGAAGGAAGATAAACCAAAATATGTGTGTAAAAATAAAAAAAAATAAAAAAAAAATTTACCTTGTTTTATAAAGTATCCTCCCAACAAGTATTTCAGTGCGGACCTGTATTTGATCGTGAGGTCTTGGAGCACCGGCGTGCCCTCCCCTGTGAGGTCTTAAGTCACCTGATTCACGAGCCCGTTGTACTACATTAACAAAGGCCCGAGGGGTTGGTTGCACTCGATTGGGAAACCGATCCGCATAAACATGTGCCATTTTTTATTTCGTTTGAGGCACGCAGCAAACACCACTATTCACTCACGCGTTACCGACTGACACATTGACTGAATAAAAACATCGTGATCAGCGTTTCAAATTCTTTCGCTGTTTTGTTTCCGATGCGATGAACCGATAAGGCGGATTATATCCGTTGTTGCCAAACACGAGCACATAATATTATTATTGAGACAGGGCGGTACTCAAACTTCTAAAGGGCTATAACTTTGCTACTTTAATTTTACCACAAAAATATTAAAGGAAAAAAACATTTCTTTTGATCAGATCTACTCACTGTTAAAATAAATGACTCAACTTCGAAGTCACCATGTATATATAATATATATATATATATATACGAAATAAGTTTTTGCTAGTATTAAATGTGTAGGTTATCCATTTGTTTACAAACAGAAATAATGAATATAAAATAGAAAGTAAAAAACTTGGCCACAAAGAAAAAGCTTGACACCTAGACTTAAAAATGTATGTCAAGTGACACGCTTTTTCTGCCACCTTTGTATAAAATTGGGACTCATGAAAAACTTTGTGAAGGCTATGAACAAGACTTTCAATATTTCAAAACAAAATTTTCTCGAATCAGTTTCGCGAAAGGGATTTTTGTAGGTCCGCAAATACGAGAACTCATGACGGATACTGTTTTCAATTTGAAGTTAAACAGGGCTGAACAAAAACATAATTTTATTGGTAATACAAAAGCTGACAACTACCGACAAATCATGCGAAAGCTTCTTTCTGTTTATAAAGCTTTAGGATGCAATGTGTCACTCAAAATTCGTTTCTTGGACTCGCATGAAGATTTCTTTCCGGAAAATCTCGGTGCCGTATAAGATGAGCATGGTGAAAGGTTTCATCAGGATATTATGCATATTGAAAGATGTTACGAGTACAATGGAAAATGGTCAGCAGCACTGCTTGCTGATTTTAGTTGGTCGATTCACCAAGAGACATCGACGGAAATTTGAAAAAAAAAACTACGAAATAACTTGAATTATATTATCATATTGAGATAAATACACTGATATTTCTTTAACTTGTGACTGTAAAATTGGTATACTTTGCTGTAAAACTTAGACCGTTGTCTTCACGTTTTTGTAATTTTTGGTACCTTGATAATATCATTTTTTAATTAAATTGACATTATATTTAAAATCTATCTAAATTCCGTGTCTGGAGCACCGAATATGATGTTATTATGCATGAAAATATTGAGGAGAATTTTTTTTTTCAGACCAGTGTAATTATTGCAACTTCAAAAAATGAAATAGTGTTGAAATCTATTATATAGGTCTACATTATATCATAGCTGAGCATCATATATTACAATCTCATTCAAAATAGATTTATACGAGTGGCTATTGAAAACTGGTATGATAAGCATGATATAATTTATGAAACTTATACAAAATTAATGTACTACGTTTATACTATATATAGATTTTTCTATTCCTTATCAATCAATTCATTGTTACTACTATGTTATAAATCTTATATACATATGTCAGAATGGTATCCACACGAAAACATCTTTTCATTTTGCGGCATATCAATTTATTCACAATTTATCAATGATGTGACTAAATATTATTTCTATTATTTGAAATACAGCTCCCACAATTACAGTAAGAGTACACATAATGTGACACATCCGCTTTGCTTAAAAATGTGTATAATAACGTATGTTTTTCGAAAATACTTATCTTTGGGAATGGTTTGTGATTCAAGTCGGCAAGATAGATTCGTGTAATTTGCTATAAAATGCCATTTGAAAAAATCTGAATATTACTCTGTAAACCAGTAGTGACGGCCGGAAGACATGTTTTGGGGTAAACAATTAGAAATTCTTTAAAACTACTTGATCACTCATCTCCAATTTTGTTGTGATTATTTAGAGGTATAAATCCTACGAATTTGATAAACTTCAAGTAGCTGCGTGAAATTATCGTCGCATTAGCAACACGTGCTAAAAGCTGCATTTTGCCTCGGTTTTCGGCCATAACTTTTTTACTATTAGTCGGATCTTTTTACGTGTGGCCTCATTTTGTCGGTCTCATGAATACCTAAAAATCTTATTCAAACAGTTTTTTCGTTTCTGCCAACACTTTCAAATGAATCCCAGGAAATACGTTTTCAATAAAACACGACTTTACAATTATTTCGGAAAATTTGTTAATATGATTAGACTAAGATACGCGTATATTAAAATAGTTCTGTTGGAAAAAGTCGAGTGCTGATTTTACGATTCCTTATGTTTACTGATTCTGTTTCAGTGTAGTCTATGCAAGCGATTTTCTGGTTATCCGCCAAAATATGTATACTACGATAGAGGCTTATATCGTCCATAACATTACCATACCATCCTGTCCACGACCTATCCTGCACCCAAGTCCTATCCTGTATCAAAGAAGATGAATGGTAATGGAGACCTCGTTTTTAGAATACAATTTTTTCAATTCAACCATGGGGACTCTTACCTGAGAAGTTGCCCGGAAGTTGTTGAACATTTTTCAAAGTGGACATATTTTATAAGAATATTTATCCATTTCAGATTGAAATAAAGAAGAAGTACGATGAAGTTCCTTCGACGGTTTACTTCAACAAAGGACTCTAAATACTGAATATAGTCAGCGAAGCTTCAGCTTGTTTTAAAGCACATCTTTATAGTGTCATGAGTAATAGTTTGTTCAGTTAAAAAAGCATAACTGACAGTTTATTGTAACTCTCATGAAAAGTCCATCCGAACCGTTTCTGTTAATAAACGTAATCTGTACCAGCGTAGCTTTATTGTTGTTGAAACTTGGATGATAATGAAGTAGGTGTTATACACAATTTTGCTATTATTCATTTTTTTATGCGGTATAGTGTTTCAGTATGAAATGTTACAAGACTAACGTCAACTACTACTATTCAATGGCAGATTCAAAAGTTGCCGCTTTTGTTCTCATGTGAAACTTTTCCAATACAAATGCTTGATGAATATACGTGTATTTATTTTAATGTATTTTATTTGGCATATTAGCAATAACAATTCCGTAAACACTAACTATATTTGTTCATTTCAATGTTATTTATTCGTGTCGGCATGTAGTTGTTGGTGTATATAGGAACGGTCTTCCTGGCAAATTTTTTCTGACAGTCTCGACAAATGACAATTCAAAACCGATTTACTGATATTATCCTTTGTCGGAAATCTGTCATTGAAAATGGCACAAATATAAAAAATTTGACAATATCAAATTTTAAAGATATATGTTTTATAAATCAGCGTGAATAAAGCAAATATTAAACAAAAAACTTATTTTATTTCTCCATTCCTTAACAGAATATTTTCAACACATACAGAGTTAAGCAACGAAAGCTTGCATTGAATCATCAGGGAAGTACTTGGGCTGTACGGCCTTCCAAGCTGAAGCGAATACTTCATCCGGGCTTCTCGCTATCCTTATCAAATCTGGAAAATCTGGAAGAGCTACCATGTATCCTGTAAAAAATAAAAACTTGAATTTTCCTCTTTTCCAATGCATTTCAGGAATGTGAGCTATCCAATATTCTGGACATCTTGTTTACGAGACCAAAGTTTCAAGAGCTGCAGCTTGACACTAACCATACCTATATAATCAATTTGAGTAAGATTTTGTGTCAGCAAAGACTGGTAGCTCTTTAGTACAACACAATTTTATGTTGGTCAGGATTCTAGCTGTAATCCAATGAAAATTAGTTATAGGATAAACTACGATAATTTATGATGTGCGAAGTTAAATTTCAAGACAAAGATTTGTTCGCACAGTGGTCAGAAACCGTCGGTGACTGCCAGAGCTCTGTCCAGGTAAAAGGAGAGAACAAACGACGTGTGACCTGAAAGATAGATGTTAAAAAGACGTATGAGTTTGCTGATCTGAGATTTATAAACCTATTGCCATTATCATAAAGTAGTTTAAAAGGTAGCTCACATACAACTAATGCATTATGCAGATGTATCAATCTGCTTATAGGAAATCCCTCAGTACTGCTACCTCCCTCCTTATCTTCGTTAATGATATTACTAGAGCACATCATAAAAAAATGGGCGTAGCAGTTATGACAATCGATTGCTGCAAGGTATTTGACAAATTAAATCACGAGTAATTGATAGCGAAGTTGAAGTATTATGTCAAGAACTTTTTTAAAAAATCCAATTTGAGACTACATGTTAAAACGCAATTTTGAATTTTAGGCAGAAGAAAAAAGTGAACATCTTTGGTTATGCCCATTTGCAACTACTGTGATATTTCATATTATCCGTGTATTGATCTTATCGGAATCGGATTCAAGTTGTGCAAAATAATTGTGCTAGTCTTATCTGCGGAATATTGTCAAATTTCATTATTTTGTATTCATCCATAAACTCATGTACATAAGATATTATGTCTAATATACATGATATTAGATTACCAAATATGATAACTACTCCTATTCACTCTATAGCCTTATTTAAGCGTTCTTTCTTGTACGGTGCTGCATTATTTTACAGTTATGAGTTCTGAATTTAAAAGATGTCTCTAAATTGCTTCAAGAGGGCTGCTAAATCTCAAATCAGCTTGGATCCATAGTTTAAACATATTGCTCTTGTCTCTGATGTTAATTTTCTTCTTTCCTCTCTTTGTGTAGGTATATAGTAAACTTTTTCACAACATTGTATAGTATATCTTTATTTTGTTTTTGATATTTGCTATCTAACAACTTTGGTTTTTCCTTATTGGTTAAAAGTAAGAGTAGCGTGTTGCTGAACTTCATCTTTTGTGACTCTTTCTTTCTGTATCGAATTGTACAGTTCGAATGAAGTGGTTATTCCGTAGGTGGTAGACGATCTCTGACTGTCGAACGCGGAGGTACCACCCGGCGGATCTCGGCGTTCCCCCTTTCCTCTGTATCCCCCTATAGCCCCACGGTAGCCCATGGGTGTTTGGGCCTTAGGCCTTCTTGGTGGTTGGAGTATAAAAAAATATTATTATAAATGTTATTATTATTATTAGATGAAAAATACTGTCAAAAGAGTTTCCATTGTACCTGAAGAAAGTCGCCATTGGGACCGAAACGTTGTACGATAAAGAATTTTAAGCACGTGGTCTGATTCGGCCAGACAAACATGGGGGATTATTAACATTTAGGGTATACGGAGGCGAATCGAACCAAAGGATGAATCGATCAAAATAACCAAACCGTTAATATTTTGAATAACGTATTGTTTTGATCCGATTCACCCACTGATCCGATATTAACTCTATAACCCTATATCGTGTCAAGGTGTCTCCTTTATACGCGATTCTCTGAATTGCATCTATTTAAATATGAATTTCTTAACAAATGCTTCAGCTGCTAAAAATTAATGCAGGCAGTAGCTTTTTTATTCCCAAAAATTAGTTTAATAAATGTCTTATCATACTTTACACATGATGCATGATGCTTTGCCTTATTTAATGCCGAGTCAATATACTTGAAAATGAGTGAATTAAATCGCTCAAACTTCCTTTCCTGACGTTTCAGACGATCGTGATCATTTTGTATATCTCAATTGTTTGACGTTGGTATATCTATATGCCTTCAACCCCAGTAATTCTACGCACATACTAGGCATATTTCACTCATCCCGTACATTTACCCTTAAAACTTCAACTCCAACAGTCGCGTGTGAATACATGGGACGTGGTCCTCCGATGGACGAGCGTCACAAGTCACAGTCGATAATTGCTTCCGCACTGCTGTGAGCTGTGTGGACTGGGCACGGTGAAGGTCAGTATCAGTTACCTGGAAAATAACTGGGCAACTGGCTTCCCCTTAACTGAACTCTAGACATATACTGCACAGGATTAGCATCCAGGAAGAGGTCCACTCCATTACCCATTTCCTTTATGAGGTCATCGATGTCTAATTCTTCTGTGTTAAACGGATCTAACACTTCTACCGGTTCTGCTCCCACAAGGTTCACTAAACGCTCCAGTTCTAAAAAAAATATGAATATATATATATATATATTATATCAAAAATAGGAAAATAATGGGCAAAATCCACAAAAAGTGGATTCGAGCAGAAAATATTATAGGTAACCCGAGCGATACGTATTTCTGCTGGTTGGCTTCATCAGGCCCGAAATAAATGCACATATGCGGCTACAAAAGTAGATAGTAGAAGTAATTCGAGGTCTTCTAGCCATTTTATACTACAATGTGAAGGTTGGCTCTTGTTGTGGACTTCGTGTGTTACACCCGTCTCCGGAGGTATGGGCTTGAGTATCTGCTTTTGTAGCTGCATATGCGCATTCATTTCGGGCCTGATGGAGCCAACCAGCAGAAATACGTATCGCTCGGGTTACCTATCCTATTTTCTGCTCGAATTCACTTTTTGCGGATTTTCCCCATTATTTTCCTATTTTTGTTATATACCTTTCTCCGCATGATAATTTTCTCTTTATATATATGGTGGTTTAATGAAATACAATAGTAATAATAACAACAATAATCATAGTAAAAATAATAATAATAAAAGATCTTTATTTTTGCGAAGTTTAGCATAAGCTATTCTTTCACTTAAACCCTAAAAAGTCAATACACAAAGTAAACAATAAAAACAATGTGCATCACTAAGCATGCATAATTTTCAACATACAAACAAATCAATTGAGTAAGATAAATTACTGAATTGGATAAAAGGAAAAAGAATGGCATTATACATAGTTATAGGATAATGTACACATATAAATGTATAAGCTGAAGTAAAAGATAAATTTATGTTATTGATTATTCGAAAATGAGGTTTTTTAGATTCTTTTTGGAATTCTCGAAATTTAAAGCTTTAGTATTAGAGGGTAAAACAATGTACATGATAGTAGCATTATAAGTAAAACATTTAGTAATATATGAAGTTCTGTGAGATAGACACCTATCTCGTGGGTGCATAAAACCACGGATTTAAATGTATCTTCCAAAAATGGGGAAATTGAGGTAAGTAAATGTTTATGAATATAACACAGTAAATAAAATTTAAGCAGATTATGAATATTTAACCGGCGGTAAGGTTGTCATATTTTTCCAAGCTACATGTTAATCTGCAACATGAATTTAAAATTTTTTGCAAGCGCCTGATACTGAATCTAAAGACGGATGATAATAAATATCGCAGTATGTAATTTTAGAAATAACCAATGGCTCACAGAGAATTTTTTAGTTTTGTAATCGAGAATTTGTTTGTTCAAGTATAATAATTAACGAAGTACTAAAAAACAAATGTTTGTAACACTATTTAAAATAAGGAATAAGATTTAGACATTCATCAAGGGATATGCCTAGATTTTTTATAGTTTCATATATTTGTACAATTTTGCCATTCAATGATATAGTTGAATATTTCTTTATTTGATTTCTAAATCTTTTAGGAGAGAATATGATTTTTTATTCAATCTAAGATTATAAATTCCTGCATACTTGTCAATAAATCTCAAAACTTCATCAATTTGAGCATCACCATTTAATATATTGTCAATATTAAAATTATTGTATAACTGCGAGCCGTCCGCAAAAAACTGAATATTGCAGTATCTAACAACCTTATCAAGATCGGAGATATATATATATATAGAATAAAAAGAAGCGGTTCAACAATCGATCTCTGGGGCACCCTCGATGATATTAAACCCTCAACTCTTGTAAATTATTTCTAAAAAGGTGCTGATTAGAGAACTGATGTTTCAGAGAAATCATAAAATTTACATTTGGCTGCTAACAGAGAACGGTTGATGGTGTCAAACGTCTTAGTAAAATCTAAAAGGATGAAGGAAGTTGTTTGCTGGTTATCGCAGCCCTGGCAATATTGTCAGTTATATCCAACAATGCTGTGGCAGTATTGCCTAGCTGGTAGTATACCATATTTAAAACCATATTCATTCATTTGTATATACTGACTGATATGTGTGGTTTAAGATGCTAAACAGAAAATATCCTTGTCGCTCTTCAAACTTATATTGCAGAAATGAATCAATGTATACGAGTATATAGTCATGGCAAATCGAAGCTTCCTGATATAAAATGGGCCACACACACACGTCACTGTCAAACCGCCTGTATTTTCCATAAAAAGCTTACCTGCGTTTGCCCAAGGTGAATTTTCGTCCGATATGGGCTGGAAACTTCTTGGATTATTTTTACCTAAAACAGAATCAAACTATCTCACTTGACATTCCGAAATCTTTTCATAATTGAGAAATTATCTGAAGTACAGCGACTCATTATAGGCAAAGGAGCCTCAGGTTTTTAGAAGGCTGGCGTTACCGTATTGAAAGGCAAAGTCAGAGTCAGCAGTCAAACTGCCATTAATTCTACTTAAATTCGGAAGACAAAAAAACACGACTTCATAATATACAAAGTGCGAGCTGCAGTTAGAGTTAGATGGATAATTTAACTGTTGCATCTATATCGCTTAAATGATTCACAACTTCAGTAGACAACTAAGAAGTGTACCATATATCCAAATAGTAGTTACACCAAGAGAGGGCAGTTCGAGAAGGCGAACAAATCAGAGAGGGATATAGAAGTGAAACCAAAAACACGGCGTCCACAAAACAGTTGATGACCTCTAGTCACGTGCTGTTATTAGACTAGAGATACGGTGTTGCCAGACTGTAATCTTTTTTTGGATGAATTCATTGTTCACTACTTTTGCTCAAATTTACCGCTTATTTTTTCTTATGAATACACCGTGTTAATGAAGGTCCCAACTTTGCGTATTTTGGAATATCGATGTAGCGAATATGCAACAATGAGAAAACAAATATATATAGTATTTTCACGTTTTTTTTTTGGGGGGGGGCACAGTGGAACTGTATAACTATAAGCATTACTTTCATGTACATCTGCAATAACTATGCGCGGACATTTGTGTGTTCAAAAAATGAATGAACGGAATAGTGTAACAGAATTACGCAATGCATGCCTGAGCGAGCAATTCTCTTGGGAAAGTTAGTCACCGCAAGTTTTTTTTATGCTGAACCAGCCGCGTATACAGAAGACTAAATGCTATGAGGATACCAAAGAAATTTTGGTAATTCGATTTTGAACTACCTAAGGTTAGTAGATCTGGGAAAAGCTTCCTCTTGTAGATTGTACCACAATCTCGATCCCCTCGGGACAATGGAGCGGACGTGTCGGCCAGTTATGGATGTACGAAGTTCGACACGGTTAGGATGGAAGGCTGAAGTCAGGCGGGTCTGTCTGGGAGGCACATCGCGCAGTGGCATCATGGAGGAGAGCTCTAAGGAGCAAAGTCGATTGGTGTAGCGGTAGAAGAGAGCTAGATGGCCGACGGCTCGCCGGTGTGAAAGGTTACCGAGACTGTCTGTTAGTGAAGAGTCATCGATCAGTCGGACAGCCCTCTTCTGGACAGCATCGAGCATGAATAATGTAGTCGGGGCGGCAGCACCTCAAACGTGTGAGCTATACTCGATGCTGCAGTTGTAAGGGACGGTCTTAGATCCTTTTTTGGGATGGGCTGGACCTGAGCAAATTTACAGTTTTCTGGGAAGATGCCGGATTCGTAAAATATCTGGAGGAGATGCGAAAGATCTGGAGGCTCCGCTGCACACCTCTTCAGTACAATGGAAGGCATCAGGTCCGGCCAGAAGCTTTGTTGATGTCGAGCTACAAGAGCACCTGTCTTACGGTCTTATCCCTTAATGTTACTTCATAGTTAGGGAACCCTTTGAATCAGCACTTGGACGTTGGGGGGACGTGCATGGTGGAGAAGGCAGCAAAGATCTTGTCAAGTGCTTCCGCCTTAACCTTTGAGTCAGTTACACTCGTTCCATCCTGACACGTAAGTGGTGGGATGCTACTCTGTGAGAAGTTCATTTCAATTTACCATGTACCTAACTTTTATATCATGCTGGTCTTTGGCATTGTGAACCGCTTCGTTTTATGTGTTTCTGGACCCGACGTAGGCTTGTCTGTTATCTAAAGTGGGGTTTTATTTGTACGAAGGATATGTGCGCCTTGATATTCTGCTAGCGAGCAGTGTCGCACAATTTATTGAACCAGCTGTTAGACGATGGCTTGGGCAGTTTCACTATATATGAGGCATGTATTCCTCCATTCCATTACATGGATAATTTCGGTTATCGATGAACAGACAGCCGACGCATCCGCGTCTGCGAAACAAATGCCTCTCCAAGGAAAGGTGGAGAAGAAGTCTCTGTGCCCCTGCCAGTCGGAATGTCCATAGTGCCAAATTTTGCAACCTGGGCGAGTTTTTGCTGCCACAGCGGGTTGTGACCGAAACCTAACCTCCACAGGACCATGGTCTGAGTTACCCATGGTAGGAGAGGAGTGCTGTAAGGGACAGGATGCGTGGTCAGAAAGGAGTAGGCAGCATTACGAGCATTGAAATCACCGAGGAGCGTGTGATTGATCTTGACAGCGAGGTATTAAAGAAGGTCATCACAGTTATGGTCCGAGGGCGAGCGATAAAGGCAGTAAAGAAATTTGGGAGATCCTTTGGAGTTGAGGCGAAGCCACAGAATGTCCTTCCGGTCTGATTCCAAATAAACTTCTCTGGAGCAGGAAATACTGCTGCGGGTAAAGGCCATAGCTCCCCGTTCTTTCTGCAATTGGAGTGCACCTCGTAATTTGGGAAACTAAGATTAATTGGTGCTTCAGATTCTGAGATTTTTGTCTCCGTCAAGAAATGCATGGCATGGCAAGGCGATCTGTTGATCTATTGTGTATGACAATTTGACGTAACCGTCAAAAACTGTGAAACGAACTGTACTTTTGATCTAACAATACTCGTACAACCCTCTATTTATTACAAGTTCGTCTGCTACTTGAAAATTTCAAACTTTGATTTCATCGGCGAATCTAGACACTTTCTAGGAAAGTTTTGTAACAAAGAACTTCAAAAGCACATGGACTATTGGTAAACCGTACAAAAGAAATCCTTTGTAATCAGGATCTGGTTTGACAGTCTTTGCAATATAGATATTTTCTCTAAGGAAAACGTAAGCTTTGACTTCAACCGATAATCTTCATTATTTTCAAATGCTTTAAAAGTAAGACATAAACTGTGCCTTTGCGAAGCTTTTTTAAGTTTTCTGAATTCTCGAGCAACTTGTGCCAGATCTATTCCAGCTATTTTAGTATACTGATTCCCTGAGTTTGCAAATTAGGCAAACTTCTTTGGTTCCATGGACACTTTTGTTCGAGAACTCAAGAAATATATCATACTGAATTTTAAGACCAATCGACTGAGACCCATTTTCCATATGTTTTGCGTATGGTCCTTTGGCTTTCTATTTTCGCCTTGCTAGTCTGAAAACGAATTTTGTACCAAATTAGTAGATCAGTAAATAACATATTTTATTTATAAATAAGAAACTTCTCTGAGAACCTGGATAGATTTATAAGCAGCTTTGATAGCTGCCCCCAGTATCAAGTGGCTTCAGTGTTACTGCTAATCGGTCTTTAAGAAAAATTGAATCTCTAAAGTTTTTATATAACTTTGTAACTCTTCTGACAGTTAATGTAATGAGTGCCTAAAAATAAGAGGAAGACATTGTCAGAAAATTATGAAATGATGTATTATGTTCCCCAAGCAATTGAATGCCATGGTTTTATATATCATCCAACGGTTTGCTCTTCTAGATAAATCGATCGAACCTAATATCTGTGTTGGCGTTTACCTCTTCTCTAAAATATAATACATACTATCTTAATTGGTAATAAATATATAATAAGCCTCTTCTCTAAATATGATGGTTAATTATTGAAGAAAAACTGTGCTTTGACTTTCTCTAGAAACAACTAGAACAAAATGTAGCCCGCTTGATGAAAACAAGACTTTTCAGTTGTGTTTTTGTTGTAAAAACAAAGACATTCCACTCAGTGGTATAACTATACGCTTTGGTATAATTTTGTACGATGAAACTGTACTTTAAATAGCATAAAGTTACATACCCTTTTCTGGAGTCTTATGCATTTCTTCAACCATCTTGTCGAACAGATCTTGTTCGGGTGGAGATCCATTCGCAAGCTTTTCGGCCAGTGATCCCATTTCGCCTGACAGGGCTTCTTTGTGGATGTCCTTAGGCATCTCTCCAGGAACCACCACGTCTTGCATAGGTCCAGGTGAAACAGAACTACATAAAATTTCGATTGAAAAGGCACTTTATTCGTATAACGGTTATTTTTTGGTATACAATAATAGTATTATAATAGAGAGAGACTCAGAAATAAAATCGAGCAGACATGGGTGAATAAGCCTTTACATGGACAATACATAAATGAAATATATAGAGAACACATGCATCAAACACTCATACGGAATTAGTTGAAGGTTGGTGAAATGAAAATTTGAGATATTTATCACCAGACTTTGAACTAAAATTGGTAGTTTGGTCGAATACGACTAAAATTGGCAGACCAGGTAACACTGCACGGGAGAATAATAATGATAAAAAAATAATAATAGCCTCCCAACAGCTAACCTTATACAGGCTAATTACGAGAAATATTAATAATAAACCGTCTTTTTCGATTTTCATAGACAAAGAAATTACGTTTTAAAAAATAAAAAATAATACCAGTGGCGCAGTCTATCTAACATCTATTCTACTTAACCACTGAAGAGGTGTGCCCAAAGTACACAGTTAAACTAGAATTAAACCAAAGAATCGATGAGGTAGACAAAAAATATAGTAAATGAAGTTTTAGTGATTATGCTTTTAAGCTTTTAACGATATATAGACTATAGCTATATACTTTAATAAGTAGATAACCAAAACTTGAATTTGAAATGTACTATACTTGATCCTACTGTATATCAAACAAATACAGTTATAATTTGAATCTGAACTTGTTCATCTTTAGAAGCTTGAATTATTGTGGGAAGTGATAGTACTTCCTGATCAGATTATATATGCACGATCTTTGGAACATAGCGGTCTTACGCTGAGGTCTGTGCAGTTCAATTTTGATCTAACATCCAGTTGATGACCATCTTTGTGCGATATGTACGTTTAATCAGACCTGTAGGATTTGATTTGTTGACCAATTTATGCGTAAGGTTACACAGGAAAAGGAATCTCCTATTCTCCATGTTAAGCCATTCGCACTCTTTGATTTTGTGTGATATAGGGTCATACTTCCTGGTCGCGTATTTGCAGCCCGTTGTATTTTTGTTATATCAGCATCAGTCAAACATGGCCCTTAAATTAAGCTGCAGTAGTTGAAATGGCTAAGCACCAAGGCCTCAAACAATGTTTTCCTTGGATTTTTACTTAAAAAGTGTCGATTGCTATAAATGATTTTTAGAGAACTGAATGCATTATCTACTAGAATTTGAGTATGGATACAGAAACGCAGGCTTGTATCATAAATTATTATATGCCTATCTACAAAAAATAACTGAGCTAGATTAGTCCACTAGCGCCTTCAGTGTGCAAATAAAAATGACACAGTAAGGAGATATCCTGTAATTATTGTTACACATTTCATGAACGGCCGATTTAATTAATATATAGGCCCTTGGCCTACTACACGAAAGCATAGTACATGTCCTACTACTGAACCTAGGTACAGTCAAATTTATTTGGCATAAGACGGAAGTTTAATCTATGCTACTATGTAATATTTTGTACAGAAAGGAAAGAGACGCTATATTTCGCCTCAGTTGCAAAGTATCTTGATCGATCCTGTTTCATAAAATTTCATAGTCAAGGCCCCATTTAGGAACTTATCCATCTACTTTAAATTGCCAAATAACGGGAGTCACAACATTAGCGCACATCTTGAATTAAATATACTAAGTGACATATAAATCCGAACACCCAGTTTAAATGGTTTTATTTTAAGAAAAGTTGGTGAATGTATTTATCTTACTGTAAATAACAAGTGAAAAAATTTTCAGCCTTATGAGTTGGACATTCCGGTTTTTATACTGTTTTTTTTTAATTCACTAACGCTCTAAAAATGAATATTTCAGCCGCAGTAAAGAATCAACGTTGGCGGATTTTGGTTCTTGACATCCTTTATGATCGGTTACGATGCCTAGAGTACGGAGACCTGTACGATTTCGTCAAATTAGTGAGTTTGATAGGGGCCGTATAGTGGGACTTCGGGAAGCTGGACATTCTTTTCGGGCAATTGCAGTTAGAGTGCAAAGAAGTGTAAACACTGTGGTTAAGTATTGTCAGACATGGCTTCGAAAAGGCCGTACGCAAAGAGCAAGGGGCACTGGACGCCGCCGTAGAACAGCAGACCGTGAAGATCGCCGCCTAAGATTATTATTGGCCCTAAGGGACCGTTTCTCCACTACCAGGTCCATTGCAAATGAATGGTTTGCAGAACACGGAAGACCTATTGGCATGCGAAGTGTTTACCGACGAATGAGAAGTTTTGGCTTGTTTTCATACCGGCCACACTGGGTCCTCCCTTTAACTCGAGAACACCGACGTAATCGCCTTGAGTGGTGCAGACAACGGTCACTCTGGGATCAGGAATGGAACAGTATTGTCTCTAGTGACGAGTCTCGATTTTGTTTAGGCATGCACGATGGTCGTGCCAGGGTTAGAAGGCGACGTGGTGAAAGGAGGAATCCACAGTTTTTTGTTGAAAGACATGTTCATCACACTGTTGGAGTTATGGTTTGGGGTGATATAGCTTATGGTTCCAGGTCACCTTTAATCTTCATCAGATGTAACATGTACGCGCAGCGTTATATCCACGAAGTTCTAGAACCCATCTTTTACCCTATCTTGACACCCTGGCAGGTCCAACTTTCCAACAAGATAATGCCCGACCACATGTTGCAAGAGTCACAATAGACTTCTTTCAACATAATGATGTCACATTGTTACCATGTGGGATATGATGGGTAGGAGATTGCTCAATTTGCAACGTCCTCCTCAGACTCTAGAAGCACTTCGAGAGGAGTTGGTGGTTGCCTGGAATGAGATACCACAGGAGGACATTGACCATCTGATCAGAAGCATGCCTAGGCGCGTTGGAGAATGCGTAGCACATGAGGGTGCATTAACACATTATTAAAAGTCAATGGGCTTTAAAGCAGTGCAATCATTTTGAAATTTTTATCATTTACTTATTATGCTTCGTTAAGTACTTATACAAAATTTTATTAAAATAAAACCATTTAAGTTGGGTGTTCGGATTTATATGTCACTTAGTATAGAAAACACAGTTTTAAGTCTTTAGATTCTTATTTTTTATTGAACCATAACGCACTTAGGATAGAGTTATGTATGGAATATCACATCTAGCAAATAGCCTCCACGGCTTTGCTGGTTCATACGCACTCTTTTGTCGAAATTCTTCATGGCCTTTCTGCCTAATGGTGTTTGAATTTCGTTAATCCACCGTTTAGTTTCCTTTTGTAATGCATGGGTGGTTGTGGGCTTGTTGACATAGGTCTCTGTCTGATCACCGAAACGGGAACATCACCAGGAAATATTTCATGCGGTAATTGATTTTTTTTACTGGCCGTATGGCATGTGGCACCGTCTTGTTGAAACCACATATTGGACACATCTATAGCATACAATTTCGGCAGAGATAACTGATAACCAGAATCATTGTCCTTTTTTCAGGTCTGCAGACAATTTACTGCAAACATGGCGGAAAATGTAAATCTTGATTATGGGACACCCTTTATATATTTACGTTGAACCCTTTCTATTGCAATGACGTAGCTATCATATAAAGGGGACCACATAACACAACCATATTCTATCTTCGGACGTACAAACGAATTAAACAAAAGTTAGATCATATCAATATTTGAAAAGCTCTATAGTTCCGCGCAATAAGCCCATAAAATTTCAATTTCTCAGACACTTTTGCCTCAACATGTGTTGCAAACGTTTACTTAGAATCAAAAATTATCTCTAGATTTTCAGTGTTTCTCCTACTTCATGAGACGAATTTACATATTTGGGCATTGAGAAAAAGTGCATTCTCATTTCACCAGTTTTCAATAACAGCCAAATTATTTTGAAGAAAGTAGCAACTCTCAACCTCATTAATCCTTGAACAAGTTTTGAGGTCGTCGGCAAAACATAAAACATTGCAATTAACCGCCACTAACATCAATATACTAAATGAATAGTGAGGGACCCAAGTTTGAAACAAATTGAAACGTATCTGACAGGTAGGGTTTGAAACAATGTACAAGTTTATCAGAAAAACTATCACTAGAAAGCTTTGGCAATAGTTTTTTGTAGGAAACTTTGTCAAAAGCTTTCGAGAAATCAGTGTAAGTTACATCAACCTGTCCTTGTTAGTTTAAGACGTTTTAAATATAATTATTGACCACGTAAATAAAATTAATAACAGTGTTTCTCCTGCTACATGAGATGACTGATGATGATTTTTGGGCACTGAGAAAAAGTTATTCACATTACACCTCGTTAATACTAGAAAAAAAGTCGACTTCGTCCCCAAAATATAAAAACTTGCAATTAATCGCCGCTATCGAAGTATTAAATGCAACATGAATAGTAAAGGACCTAATTTTAAACCTTGCAGAACACCAGACGTAATTAAATGGGGGTTGTCTTACAGGTATATCCATGATACGAAACAAATTAAGCTTTGCCAAAAGCTTTCAAGAAATCAGTGTAACATCTACATGTCCTTGTTCGTCTAAGACTTCTGAAATATATACGCTGCACAATAATAAATAGATTGGTAACTGTAGATCTCTTATCTATGAAGCCGTGCTGGTTTGTTGAAATGTAATTCCTAACAGATGGTTGTATTCTATTGTAAACGGTAATCTCCAAAGCTTTTGAAAAGTTGCAAAGAATGCAATATGATTTTCAATATTGGTGTTATCCCTGCTTCTAAATATAGGACAGATTATGGCTTGTAACAGAATGATCAGTATATTACCTCAACTTTATGAAATGCTCATTGGCATTCTCTTGAAATAAAGTATTGAATACTTCATCTGGAGCAGACTGAGGAGACACGCCTGTTTCAACAGTGTGCATCATTGTCGCCATTATTTCCGGGGCCGGTTCCGCTTGAGCCTCATCCGCTGTAGGTTGTGGGTTGATTATAGACTGTTTGACAGATAAAAAATAGTAAAATATGACCGAAAATAGATGAAAACAATATAGAAAAGTGGCTTTTAACTAATCCGTTTCGATCTCCTTGTCAACATAGTTTGAGTTACACTAAAACGGCTGTGGACTAAGAGTACTATCTATACCGCAATGACTGATCCATTATTACTGCATAAATTTGTTTTGCTCAAACTTTTCTGAAACTTCGAATTGTAACAGTACGGATCTCTGCAGCCGTTGAGTTGGTGTATTTTCAGTTGACCGCATTGTAGGGATCTACCTTCCATAAGGGAAGTCTGTTAAGAAGGAACTTCGATGAAGAAAGTGGACAGAACTCTAAGTTAAGACCAAAAGTAAGAAGTATTAAACGTTTAAGACTAAATTCTTAAAGCGATGATATGGCTGAGCGCAGCAAGCAATAAAACGCGACGAAAATCGTTTGACAAATCATATATTGACAATCGTACCATCTTCTCTCAAATCAACCCTAAATACAGGATGAACAAACTTCAAAATAAAAATCGCGTTTGTTGTGCGTAGTCCTTTGTGGTGGTCTACTTGCAACTATTTTTTTATAAAAAAAAAAAAAAAATGCGAACTGTTACAAGAGATGAGCTTAAAGATTGGTTTTTAAGTAACTCAAGTCATGTTACATAATCAAGTGATATAATGATGATATTCAAACTTGTGTTATAGTCTCGACCGCGTTGGAAGTTATAGTAGATCATGTATCACACACACATCACACGGAGAACGTTATACCTGTTCCAATAATGCCATAGATTCTGAATGTATTCGTAGACTATGGAGACGTCTTTTCATCTCATACCTTCCAGGTATCAAGACAAGCTCTGGAGGGACCATTTTTAATGTATTCTCGACATCTTCTTTTTCTTCTGCTACCATTTGCGCTACTTCTTCTAGTGACATTTCTATCTCAGGCTCTGTGGGCTAAATATTTAATAATAAACACTCGCGATTATATCGCAAGGTACGGAAAACGCTCTATTACCCAACAAAGGAATTGATCAGTTTTGTGGTAATAAATTATTCGAGAGGATTGAAAACACATTGAGGAAGTTTCCTATTTTTTGAAACACTCTTGAAATCATATTCTAAGTAAAGTGAAGTACAGCACTGAAAGACGAAGTTACGCCACCCAGAAGTTTCTTTGGAGAACAGTCTTGTTGGAGCGTGAGCCTGAGTGATGACGTCACATGACACCAGCTACCACCGCTACCACAAAGCGATGCGACCGCCGGGCGCAGTTCGCGTCATTTACAAACGTTGCTATGTTTCGTATTTACGATTTGCCGGAAAATGGGTAAAGAATGTTATTATTATGATGGATAAATATCCCGATTTATGTAAACGAGAACTGGTAAAGATTTTACTATTGCTTTCATTTCGAGATAATGTGATCATGTTGTGGCTGGAGGGGGAATACCCCTGTCACCTTATCTGCGTCAACGTGAGAAAGCTTAGGCGAGATTCAGGAACCAAAAAACCTGACCAAAAATGCAAAAAAAAATATAATCGACTAGTGTCACATTTTAAAATAATCAGCTGTATTAGGATTTGGGCAGTGGGTCGTGGACGCCGTGGGAGTCACAGGTATGTATAGCGATTATGATGACAGTATTGCCTTCCAATCGACACATGACACCATACGACAACAATAAACTAGTTGATATCTTCTACGTAATTAGTGAATACAAAAAGAGTTTCAGAGACGTCCATTAGAATCCGCTCTATTTGGAATAATAAGTAGTAGCATATTTATCAGGCACCCAGGTAAGAAATACGTCAATTTTGGCTGCAGCTGACTACAAGCAACATAGCCGCCAGACTAAATCTATAGAATCTAGAATTCTAGAATCTATATTTAAATCGTTATCAGCGGACTTGGAACCTAATTTTGAGCTTCATCGAAACATTTTTTGCAAACATAGCTGCCATGCTTAAGCAACTTTAAAAAACGATTAAAGATGACCTTAAAGCAATCGGATGAATAGAATTTAACTATACGCATCTCTACAGGTGAGACCCGCTTTCTCTGTGAAGTGGACCATTTTATAGTTTTCTCTTTTGGTGATTAATGTTGTGACCTGCGCTATGTTAAATTTATGTACTTTTTTATGTTATATCAATTGTCTTTAGTCGCGTTGAAAAACAGCGTAAGGTGACACGCCACCGTTTCGTCACCTATTTCTTTTTCCTATTAAGTCTATTATTATGTAATGCTGTGACTAATTAAGGCCATTTATTATTACTATTATTATTATAGATATTATTATTACATCAAAACCGCTATTTCGATTTTTAAACAATCGATATCAATTTCGTTAGTAGCGACACTGAAAACATCTGAAACATAAATTTGAGGTCAATAAAAGTATCTTGATCTTTGACAATTGGATACCGTACTCGTTATCAGTGACCTGAAAAACCTAGAAATAGATTTTTCTGTAAAATTTAGTAAGTCTTTCTTATTTTGGTCATATTTTATTTCTTTTGAACCACCGTGGCGTCAATCGCGCGTGAGCTTAATTATAAATGTTAATGCGTGCAAAAGCGTACATATTTCGTATAGTATAACCCCCGATATAATGATATAAGGTTATTATGTGCAACTTTGGAAGATTAGTAGAATCGGTCCACAGAAAACCTTCCATTTTATTTATTGCGTATCTATGTATCGCGCAGTTGTCTATGCCAAGACATAAACAATATATTGCAGTTGGTCATCTTGAGCCTTTAGCATTAAGAATGAATGCGAGATGCAAGGGCCATCGCGTTATCCGGTCACGTCAGTACCGTGGCCCAGAAGCTGAACTTAGGTTATGTGACGTCACGACCACACCTCGATGCAAGAGAGCTACATCACCCAACAGAGAAAATGTCATAACCACCTTGAAGTTCAAGTTCTCGGAATAGATATTTCAATTTATGAAAGATACCAGTTATATTATTGTATGCAAGCGAAACCAGCAGTTTTTTCGACAATAGGAAACGCGACCTTTATTTATTGAATGCATTTTTTACAAGGCAGCCTTGCTTTCATTGAGAAGGCAATTCCATTTGTAGATTATTCAACAAGCGTTTAAAATACTTACTTTAAATCTTTTGACAATAACACAGATTTGGTAGTCATAAATGCCGCAAACGTAAACGCTCTATTTGACATTAAAGTCAATCTTTTATGTGTGGTAAGTATTAATTGATGTTAATATCTACGTCTACGGTATTTATTATTGCTAAACTTCTCTAATACCTATTTCAAGACGTAAACCAATGTGAAAAACTCTTAAAGTAATAATTGGAAACTGGAAATTTATTTTATGTTTTCTAAGTCAGTCAAAAGACGTTCTGTTACAATTATTACAGATAAATATGCTCACCTCTGTTGATACTCTTACGCACTCTCTGGAGTACGTTTTATATGAGGGAGTTACTGAGACTGTGCTCGTAACTCCAATTACATCTTTTCCTCCCTGAAAATGTTCAGTATATCATTATTCTGTGAAGTATTTGTTTTTTTTGTACTTACGTCTATCCTTGCATAGTTTGGATCCCTAAAAAAGTAATATGTTCAGTAAAGAGGTCAGGAGTATTCGGTATATTCGGGAGTTATACTGTATGTCAAAGATTCAATAATTTATGTATTAGAAACTTTGTGCTTAATTAATTTAATTGTGATGTGGCATGTGGTTTTAATTGATGTCAAAAAAACATGAGATGGGTATGGACCCATGGAGCGGTTTAAAACGTTACAAATATGCCCAGTATCAATCGAAGAAAAGGCGAATGTGCCCAAGCTCGTAATAGTTAATGAAATGGCGAATGGACAACCAATTTTAATTAGTTGAAATGGTTGACTGCTTCTATCATTAATTATGTAGTAGATAGACTACACCTCAGAGCTTCATCCTGATGTCATTCGCAGAGCGACATGACTTGTTCATGCTCTTAATGAATTCCGCAATGAGTAATGGAGAGAGTTTCTGGCGGGGATGATTGGCTCAAGTATTCCTCTCTGGAGGACATCCACGATCCTGGGGTAATAGTCTTTAGGACAGAGGAAGCGGTCGGGGTTTAGGCAGATGCAATGGAAAATCAGTTCTTTTCCAACTATGATCTTGATAGTGACCTCGAAGAGGAGCAATACATTGTAAAATTCGTCAGGAGACGTTTTAGAACTAACAACGTTAGTGGTAGTGGTGCCTAGATAACTGACTCAAAAGATTGTTTTCCGGGAGATTTCTCAACTGGAGAGTTGCATAGCACATCCGTGGAATGTTCCGAGATCCAGCATTGCTCACCAGCAGGGCTTCAAGATCATATTAAAGACCTCAAGGTACTTAAAGCACCTGGGGAGGATCAAATCAGTACTTCCAGGCGGCGTGGAAGACCGCTAATGTCAGAATAATTCCAAAGAAGGTAGGTTCGGTATTCCCTTAGGATTAACTTTTCAATCGCCTACTGTCAGCTCGTTCTAAGTTCTTTGAAAGGGTGATTTCACGTCAGAATTTATCGCCATTACCATGTGATTCTTGACGTGCAATTTGACTTCCGGTCTGAGCATAGTAAGAAGGTACAGGCGATAAGGCTTGTGGAGCTAGTAACCGGGGCTTCACCCTTAACGAAAATACTAGCATCTTGCTCCTGGATGTCTCGCAAGGCTTTGACAAGGTGCGGCACAAGGTCCTTCTCTATACATTGATCCAAAAGGGCTTTTCATTCTAGCTCCTTTCTTAAAGCTGGGAAATTTCGAACTAAAATTAATAATGCTCTGTCGAACATACGGCCCATCGGAGCCGGTGTCCCCCAGGGCTCGGTTCTTGGATCAATCCATTATTTGCTTTTGATTCATGACGATCCTTGCCCCAGCAGCTGTAAAGTCTATATCAATGTTGATGACATTTCCTGGTGGCTAAGTCGCATTCTGGGAATCTGGTTTACGGCGGGTTGCAAAGTGCGGTGGATGAGGTATTGGAAAAGCCGGATCAGTGGCTGATTGAATCATTCAATTGGCAGGCTACCTACTGTACTAAAAAACATAGCGGTGAACCGCCTGAGGTTTCAGAGAACGGAGTTTATGTAACATAGGAACAATTTGCGAAGTATATTGGTCTTACTCTTGACAAGGGGATGACCTGGCAGAAGCACACTGAAGCGTTAAGGCCCAAATTACATTTCGGCAACTCTATGCTATATATAACCTCAAAATTTAGTCTGATCGACAAAATCCGGCTACGCAAGACGGTTATTAGACCACGTGTGGGGCATTTGCTTAGACTGCAGATTTTGCACAACAGAACTTTGCGCACAATCACTAACGTCCCACCGTATGTTTTCATGAAGACCCATCACATCGCTCACCTAAGGAACTATATCAAAAAACAGGCACGTCTACGTTATAGTCAAGCGGAATCGCACAACAACCCTTTGTTTTGTTAATGCGTTGACTACACAGTCGAGCAAGTTCGCAAGCACTCAAGACCGCGGCTCGCACTGTAATCAAAATTAAATCGTGCGACTTTAGGTCCAACCAAAAATACAATTTTTCTACGTCAATCAATTTTTTAATTAATTTTAGGATCAATTTAAAATTTTTAAACACTAGTTAACAATGCCAGGGCACCCCTCAAATTGACGAACTTCCTTTGCGTTGATTTCTCCCTGACTTTGATGGTATCTGGGCAACCAAACCTGACAGACCTACTGACTTACGATACTTTTACAAAGAGCAAAGGTTCTACTGACCGCTCTGACAGACAATGACGAACAGAATACGTCAAAGCTTTTTGATGACCTATCATTAGAGTATAAGGACGAAATACACTGTTTAAACTTTTGTACCCGTCATTCAAAGATGCTAAATTCATCTGCTTCTACTTCAAATACTTACAATTGTTGTATATTCACTTCCATCATATTCACCTTGCCCTTCTGTTTGTTCAAGTCAGACACCTTAAGGCTCTTCACCATCTTTTCTCCGACCTCATCCCTTTCCAGCCTCTGTTCCAGCACCGCTTTCTGCAACACTTGCTCTCTACCAGCTGGTGTGTCTATCCTTTCAGGACAAATGGTTGCTTTCTTTTGATTTTTCACTGTCACTTTCTTGCCGGGATTCAGAATCGACTGCTGGCATAGCTGCTCTCCCAACTTTTGATCCACTAGAGTGTTGACGGATCAATATAATTTGAAAAATCGGCTATGCCTTGTGCAATAAAGTTCTATTCAAGGTGCCATCTTTATCACGTGAAAAACTGCGTTAAGTAAGTTGACTCTGTACTTCCTATGCAACACTGTCATCAGTTCAAAAACGGTCGCTCTAAGAAAAAAGTTAGCTATGAACATGTATGTCCAGAAATTAAATGACCTTCCTGCTCTCCCTGAAAAGAATTCCTGGAAGGGTCTCGTGATCATTACGATGACCAATCACGCGTGAATGACAAAATTGGCCTTCATCATGCAGTGCACACAGCAGAACGGAGCCGACTGCCGACTGTGACGTACGGCCACCGACGATCAGACTTGTCCATCGAGGGACCACGTCACACGTATCGTCAGCCGACTGTAGGAGATATTTTGAAGTTTTAAGGGTAAATGTACGGGCTGACATATATGATGAGTGAAATATAATAAATATGTGTGCGGTAGCGGCGTATAAATATATCAACCAACGTCAATAAGTTGAGATATGCTCTTTTTCCGTAAAAAAATGATCGGGAGCATGTAAACGTCAACAAACGAAGTTTGAACAATTTTAGTTTTTTTCGCTTCGGCCCTTTTTCTCCGTCGCCACTGGACCGATTTTCAAAAACTGCATAGTTTTTTCGTTCTTGGCATAGTAGTAACTCGATGTGAAAATTTGATAAAAATCCAACCGATACTTCCCAAGTTCCAAATGAATGACGCTGCTTTTTGTGATGTACTATAGGTACATCATATAGTCTAATCATATTAGACGAAAATACCCGTGGTTTGCGAAATAATCGTAAAGTCTAATTTTATTGATGCAAGTTGCACCACTTTTTGTGGGAAAAGTTTTTATTCGACAACAAAGAATGAGAAAATGTGTTTTTTGGAATTCAATCGAAAGTGTTGGTAGGAGCGAAAAAACTCTTGATGTAAGATTTTTTGGTATTTATGAGTCACACAAAATGAGAGCACACGTAAAAAGAGCCGGCTAGTAGCAAAAAAGTTATGGCCGAAAACCGAGGCAAACTGCAGGTTTTGGCACTTGTTGGTAATGTGACGATGATTTCTCGCAGATATTTGAAATAGTTCAAATTCGTAGAATTCGTACTTTTAAATAACCACATCAAAATTGAAGTCGATTGGTCAATTAGTTTTTTAGAATTTCTAATTGTTTATCCCAAAACGCCTGTTTTCCGGCCATTACTACTAGTTTATTGAGCAATGTACAGGGTTAGTTCAAAGTTCATTTCATAGCAAAATACACTAGTTTGCCTTGCCGATATGAATCGCAAACCAATTCGGAAGATAAATGTTATTTTTATGCAAAATAGGATGGGTTACGTTTTTTCTTCTAAACAAATTCAAACATCTCGTATTTGCGAGTAATTCACAACAAAAGATGATAAATGTCCGCTTTGTTTTAAAATGTGTATAGTAACGTATGTTTCTCGAATATCGTAGCGCATTTGTTCAATTACTCACAAACACTGAATGTTTGAATTTGTTTAGAAGAAAAAACGCAACCTTTGACTTTCGCATAAAAATAACATTCATCTTTCGGAATGATTGGTGATTCATATCGGCAAGGTAAACACGTGTATTTTGCGATTACATGCTTATTGAACGAACTCTGTATATTGCTCAATAAACTAGTAGTGATGGCCGGAAAACAGGTGTTTTGGGATAAACAATTAGAAATACCCAAAGAATTACTTGACTGATATAATCCAATTTTGTTGTTGTTATTAAGAAGTATGAATCCTGCGGATTTGAAGAATTTCAATTAGTTGCGTGAAATTTCCATCGCATTACCAATAAGTGCCAAGACCTGCACTTTGCCTCGTTTTTCCGCCATAATATTTTTTGCTATTAGTCGGATCTTTTAACGTATAGTCTCATTTTGTATTTCTCATGAATCCCTAAAAATCCTATGAAAACAGATTTTTTGTTAGTTTCAGCACTTTCGATTGAATCCTAGAAAACACGTTTTCTCATTCTTTGTTGTCAAATAAAAAGTTCTCTCACAAGAATTGGTGTACCCATTTTATCCGTCCATGTTTTAAATACTCCCTTGAACAACTTGCACTAATAAAACCAGACTTTACAATTATTTCGGGGAATTTGCTAATAGGATTGTACTAATATAACATCCAAAAGACATAATATTTCAATTTAGAAAATTTTCACGATTACAATACTTCCCCGTCAGTAGGACTGGTAAAATGTAAAGTAAGTCAAAATAAATACCAACGATTGTCCGCAAGATTCGTACTGCGTATCAGCACATTTATTACCGCTCAACTCCAGTCTCTGATGTTAACTCCAGTTTTGTCGCTATCGTATTTGATTGGTATTATAATGACATTCGTGCAAGGCGTCTACGTACGGCGAACACTGACCACGCTCTAAAGACGCGTGGATGTTGTGGGATGAAGAGGAGAACATGTCAAGTACGACGGGTGTATCTTGCGGCCAAAGAGAGTCAGCCACATATATGCAAAGTTTCTCTGGGAGGCTAAGAGATGGAAGTTTGCATAAGACAGCAGCATGCCACAGTTGATCGAACGCTTTCGTGATATCAAGAGCAACAACATGACCCTCATCATAAAACTGGATGAGTTTACTCCACAGTTACGTGGTATAAGCTAAGAGGTCCCCTGGGGATTGCTGGTGCCGGAAATCAGCTAATCAAGCCGCGACGTTTGTGGTACTCCAGAAGCTAGTGACTTATGCACCTTTCCATCACCTTACTTATAACAGAAAGCAGAGATATATATAACATAGGCCGGTTGTTGTAAGGGTCGGAATTTTTTCTTGGGATGGGTTGGACATGAGACATTTTCAATTAGAGCAGTGCGGCCAACTTTGAACTGATTGTATAGTCAATAAAGACGATTATTATTATTATTAAATATAACACATTGCTTAGAAAGATTCGAATCTTAACATTCATGAACAGTTTTCGTTAAAGTTTGCTTCAAATTTGGAACGGAACATTTGGCAATTTATCTTCACGCGTATAACATCAAAAAATGTGTTCCATGACTTCCTTTTTTATCTCGCGCTTTCAGATCCGAATAACGTGCCACGTAAATTCTAAATGCGGTTCCGTTAGACACATATGAAGTGTTGCTCAGTAAGTCCCCCGTTTTTATTTCTCGAGCAGGTCAAGCTTAGAGATGTAAACATATTAGAAATTAACATCGAGGTATCGACGCATCCATGATTCAGAAAAAAAATTGAAGTATAAAAACATCGCCTAAGTAACATCGATGAATAGAAACATCAATATATTCATGAGTCTATAAAAGAAATTAACTTAGTAAGCTAAGAAGTGTAAAAAAAGTCTGATGTTCTGAAACCACTTTATTTTGGTCTTCAGCCTTTTGTTCTATTTAGTGAATAAAATGGGATTACAATAATTGATGTATAAACGGGCAGGACAGTTTATTTAATAGTAATAAAGCTTTCTTTTCTTCAAAAGCATTGATGTAAAACATCGTACAAAATGTCATCCATACATCGATGTTATGAACAAATGGCCATCGATGGTAAAAATCTCCATTCAGGTTTTTTATTGAAACATGTTTCAGAAACGTCGATGTATCGTTAGCATCCCTAGCCAAATTAGCAAGCTAACATTCAAGATGATGAGATTGATATAGGGATAATATAGTTTGACGTGAAAATAGCAGTTGGACATTCCAAGATGGCGCACAGCTTAAAGGGGACGAGAGGCCATGTGATAACTTATTTTGAAGCTACATATGCGTACTTAATAACTAACAAAGTGGCAAAGTTGGGCGTTTTAGTAGGTACATTTACAGTCAGATTTACAGGCCTTGAGGCTTGAGGCTTCCTTGGACACAATACATGTTTTTTTGGAAGCAGTACAACAATAACGCTTCCTTGAGAAACGTTCAAGGGAGGATTTAAATTTTCATATCATAGTTAGGCTGTAACAGTTGTTATCACAAGCTGTCATTAATGTTAGGAAGATTTTTTTTTGATGGACGTATCTAATTAGAATTTTAATGATAGAATTGAGACGATTTGATATAAATATCAATAAATAATGCAGAATAATAATGTGTAGGCTTCCTGGCATTACAGCGCAATCACATAGCAGTAAAAATTGAATATAGGCACCTACTTGCAAAGAACAGAGTCAGATCTTACAAGAAAATGTTATATACACAACTTTTATATAATTATAAATTAGATTAGGTGACTATGAAAAAAAGGAGCTTAGCGATGATTCATTCGATCGAGATACTAGATAAACTTAAATAATAAATCATTGACAATAAAAAAGATAGCAGCAGCAGAGCAGTTCGGTGCAATTGATTGCCTATACTCAGTTTCTCACTGCTCTACGATTGCACTGTAATTTGAGGGAGCTAACACATTTTGCTTTGATTATTGACAATTGGCACAAATAAACCAAATCGTCCAATTCCCGTCAGAATGCTAAATAGATACGGCCAGTATAAATACATTTTTCTGGCATCGATGATAGCTTGTGATGATAACTGTTGCTGCCTACTGTGGAATAAAAATTTAAGTAAGACTTTAACGTTTCTCTGCAATAAAGTGCACATTCAGATTGACACAAATTGCAATATGGGATATTTTGCTTAAAACTTTTTTTTAAGTGGAATGCCTCAAGCTTTAAAAAGAAGAGGATTGGCATAACGTACTATAGGATTTTGATGGCTGGTTGTGTGTACAAAAAAGCTCAGTTTGCCACTTTGCCGTTTCACCATTTTGAAAGGCAACAAACGTATGCTATAGAGTTACAAAGCACGCACAAGGAGCTTCAAAATGTGTCAAGACACGATTCCTCATTTCATTTAAAAAGACGTTTCAACGCTATCTTGGAATTTACAACTGCCTGGTTCTGCTCAAAAATTTAGTTTTATCCAAAAAAATACATATACACATACATTGGTAATAAGGATGATCATTAATGCAATGGTCTATGCTCTCTATAGCTTAATACCTGAAAAGCTGGTATTTAGTTGGCAGATATTGATAAGAATTACGAGTTTGAGGTAATGGTAATACTGTCTTACATGTAGGAGGTGGTTGTGGTCTTCTAACAGCAGGTGGTCTTATTCCAGATGGCTGAGGCCTGGTGCCAAGTCTGGGAATACCACTCCTTGACGGTATAGGGGTTGATGATGCAAATCCTAGAGAAGTTTGAGACAACACATTATATTTTGAAGATTTCAATAAAAACAAGGTTATCCGATATGCTTATTGCCTTCACTGCACATCCATGCTTTAACAATGATGCTGTACCTTTTTTTGTTAAAATAACATTTTATAATAAAAATGATTTGGGTGAAAATCGAAAGACCTTCAGTTTGAGCCTTGCGTGACATTATTTTCATCTCTTCAAAGAAGAAGCAGTTTTACATTACAATGCTTTCAATATTTCAAAAATTAATACAATGGAGTGATTTGAATGGTATTACCCTCTATACTATTCTCACGCCCGCTCATTCGTATCAAATAGTCTAAAGTTTTGTTTCGATGGTGCTTACAAATGATTCTTATTTATACCCAAATGGTGTGGTGTGGTTATATATAGACCCCTTTTACAATATACATATTTCAAAAACGTTTTCTTCAACATGCGCGGTAAATCATTCTTAGAAAATGGAAGTGCAGCTAGAAATTTAAAATGATATATACTAAGTGACATATGAAATGCAACACCCAGAATTATTTATAGAATTTTGATAAAAGCTTGTAAGAATATTTGCTATCATGGAAGTATACCCTGATAAAATATTCTATTAAGTAAATCTTTTTTGTTGTGGAGATACTAGAAAATAAGATCAGTTGTTATATACAAGGTAGCACAAAAAAGTTATGATAAGTTATTTACCGAAGTAGTGCTGTAAGTGGCGCCCTCTAGAAGTTTGGCCATAAAAAATAACGAATTCTTGTTTCTCATGCTAGAGGATCTCCCTAAACCGAGCTTTATGTCAAAAGCTGAAATACTTCTCAAGCAATAAGGGAAAATAGGAAATAAAATTGAAACTTTGACGCCCTGCATCTCGCAAACTATCAACTTTTGGATTGCGGTACGTTTGGTCAATTCACATATACATATAGTAGTATCTCCAGTTCCGAGATTTCCCAACCGTTCGCAAATTGATAACATAAGGTCATCGTCTATTATATAAGATTTATTTAAAAAATATATTTTTTTATCTTGGTTGACACGAAACAAGAAAGCGAGTAGAAACTGTTTTCTAATATTCATACAACACGAGTGCTACTTCTCCCTATCTTCCATACTTCTCGTGTGCCAGTTACAATTTTTAGCTAAGCTGATACGCGCTAATATCTTGTTCTAAGCAAAGCTCAATAAAAAATCGTAAAAAGATCGTAACCATATCTACCAATGTACAACCAACAAATTTGGTTTCAATGGGCTTTACATGGTAGTTCAAAAATGTTCATTGGATTATAAAGCATTTTATCTAAAGCATTGTAATGGATTACATGAAAGTCACGTGTTTATTAGATATTTACATCTTTGTTTGCCTCACCAGCAAATTGTACTTAGTAGAATAAACATTATTATTAGTATTATTGTCATTCCTATGTTCACTTAAGTAACGCCATTGTGGTAGTCAGAAAAATGTAATTCAAGCATATACATAGCATATATTTTTATTTGGCGACCAGACAATCATGGAATCCTACCAGCATGAAAACCAGAGGACTAGTCTCAGATGTTTCCTGCTTCCAGTGAACCTGTTGAGTTACTCTGAGTAACTCGGAGTAACTCAGTAGTGTTCAGCACTAATACTATTTGACTTCACGTTGTATTCTCATACAATTGTTGCTGGAACAGTTAGGGGGCGTAACACTCTCAAACCAGAAACCACTGGAAAGCAGCTTTGAATGGTTTGACTTCATTTGGGTGATGTTGTTTTACTAAATCATTATTGATGCCTTAATTGTGATACTTGAACAAGTACTAACCTGCAGATTGCGGCAAACGGCTTTGTGAAGGTCGCTGTTGAGGCTGTCCTTGAGCTGCCGCCCTAGCTGCAATGATTGCTTGAGTAAATATGTGTGAAGAAAATGAATACAAGGCAGCTCTTCAAGTCTAGGAGGAAGTTGGTACGCAGGTTCCTGAGGTGACGTGACGTGATGCCTAGTCTATGTAGTACCCACATATGTACGAGTCTTTTGTCACGCTGACAGGCAACTAAATGTCGAATGGCAGTGTCGCGCGACACACGCGTGAATCAATGTTACCAGATGTGTGGATGATTCAAAATTCAGTCAATCTAAAAATTATCCGTTCAAAAATATTCAAATACATCAGGACCCTGCTTCCAACTTGCAACCGCTCCAATGCTGATCACACATCACTTGGCACACACAAGACTTGATTTCTCATATATTAACATTAACAAAAGATTGTTGTGCAACAGAAGAATTCTGTAACTCTTTCTGCATCTAAGAGCACCAAATCAGCAACAGAGTGTTCTTGACCTGGGGACTTCCTTTTAGTTCCCATGCCTACTGGCGACGAAGTATTGCTATCGCGAAAAATGAACCCAGTAATTTCCGTCAGTCTGTCTGACGGTCGGTCTGTCGGCCTGTCGGTCGGTATGTCTGTCTGTCCGCTATAACATAACTTCGTTAAGTTTTGCAAGAACCACAGGCCGTATGCCGTGTGAAGGGAAGTCCCAACTACAAGAACGCCCGCGCGTGAAACTATTGATAAGCGAGACACTGTTTTCTGTCTTAAAACTGAATGCTTATACAAATATTACTTAAAGTAGTTATTTAACTATTAAGTATCGACTTGGTGTGCTAATATTAATTTGACAAATTATGAGATAATGACTAGAAACACTTCATATCATTATAATCAAGCTGTTATATGTTCGGATTATTCACTAAGAATTAATGTAAGGCCTTACCTGCACAAGGCACCGTTGTGGGACCAGATCGTTGAGGGAGTCCAGATGGTGGTCGCGGAGGCAGTTGCCTCGTTATCGTAGCTGGGATATATGATGGGGCTGGCAATCCAGGAGGACCTATAATATACCAGACTTGGGTCGAACACTGAAATCTGGTATTCTAATACGAATCCTAAATACTGTATTTCAAATTCTATTCGAATACTTAAGATTCGAATACAAAAATAGAAGTATTCGAATACCGATGTTTTGAATACCCGGATTTACTTAAATGAGAATACTTTTTGAATATTCCAAAAAATATTGATTTCTATTTATGTACTTGAGCTATAAGGTATATAAAAATATTAAAAACGCATAACTATATTAAATAAAACTATCTACGTTAACATGTTTATACACAGTGTCATAGTAAGGTTGGACAAATTAATATAATAAAAATAAATCTTTTGATTTTTACGGAAAATTAATAGAATAAAACTTAATAACAAACACACAAATGTATTCGAATAGTTTTGAATACCAGACAAATACATCCTGAATAGCATTCAAAACACCGAGCATTCGATTACTGCCCAAGTCTGTAATATATGAAGTCTAAAGTGTTCATAAACTCCTGTCTGTGTCAACAATACTTACGTTGGGGAAACAGTTGCCGGGAAGGTGGCATCGGCCTACCTTGTTGCTCTGCTCGTGATTGACCTCCTCCTGTGTGAAAACGATTCACAGCAGATTAACTCAGGTTTGCCATGACTTACGTATACGATACTTGTCAAAAAGGTGGACAGCACAAAGTATCAGGTACAAATGACATGAAATTTGACCACCGGTCAATTTTACAGAATATTCGTACAGTGTTGTGCTGATCAAATGTCCCAATGAGCGCAAAGCCCAGAAGTGTTGTCTATTGGAGATACAGGTTGTTAAAGTTTGGTGTCTTAGGGCCGTATCGTCATTCGTTTCTACAATTGTAGGACGCCTTGGTTTTCATAGTTTTCTACTGTTCCGTGTCAGCGCCCTATTTTGAGGTTATGCTACAACTATCTGCTTGCATCAAATTGTTCATTCTTTTGACTTATATCATCTGTTATATCACCCTGAAATTTCCTACAAAAAATAGTCTCAGAATATAGGAGAGCGCTGATGCTGACACGGAACAGTAGAAATCTAGACATTCCTCAGCCTTTCTGAAGGAGAGATAATACTATGAAAATGAAGGAGGCCATAAACGAGTCCTTCAATAATTGAAGAGTAGTAATTCAAAAGCGTCTAAGTGCCAAAAAGGTTCTGTTGAGAAATTAAAGAAAAACATATCAGGTATATATAGACAGATTGATAGACTGCAGGCGAATTTGAAATAAGTGTATAGAACTACATATTCTTGACTGGCACACAGACTATTTGGCAATGGTACATGGTACATAGACCTTAGAATCACTGAAATTAGAAAATATGTGGCACTTAGACGCTTTTGAATTACCACTCTTCTTGTAGGAAGGAGTGACGATATTGCCCTTAGCCCCTGTGGGCATGCCTGCCTGCACCATTTTACGAAAACTAACCCGTCTTTGATATACTCAGGAGACTTAATAATATAATGCAAATCACGTGAATACATACAATATATACAAGGTGTCCTAACGAAAATTGACAGTACTTTAATAGAAAAATGATATGAAATTCGAAAATGGTTTGCGCGGTAAGATTGATGTCTTAAAGGCGTGCATCTCTAAATTATTTGCTGTTCTACAATTCTGTTGCACATCAAAATTTTTTGGTAACGGAACATTACATTTTATTGGATATCTGGAGGGACCTTTTGAAGACAAGAATATTGGTATTATATACTGTAGGATTTTGATCATCTGTTCAGCTATTTTAACATATTTCTCGATAAGTAAGGTATTTGGTGAAATACTTCAAAAAAGAATATTAAAACTAGCATATTCCAGAGAGCCAAGATTTCCATCTGATCGTTTATACAGTGAAACTAACAACCTAGATATTCGACAGACATTCTGTTTCAAAATTGCCACTAAATGTCACTGTAATAAACAGGTCCCTACGCTTCCAATATAACCATACTCAACACGGCAAAAACACCACCATGTCGTACCATTTTTCCAAAAGTGTGTAGGACAGCGTTCGTATACTTATATTGCTCCTAAACTGTACAACAGTCTTCCACCACATTTGCAACGCATCAACAACTTGGCGCCATTCAAGAAAGCGTTGAAGCAATAAATTTTGAACCAACCACGAGGATCAATAGAGAATTCACTACATTAGCAATCTATTATAGTGTAATTATGAATCTGTATTGATCAGGTTACATAGATTTATAAAACGATATGTTATCTCCTTACTATTCGTCAACTACCTATACAGGGTGTTTCAGTTTATTGTTGCATAACTTTAAGATTCGATAGAACTTTTAAAATTAATACATAAACATGGGTCGAAAAATGCGTGGCTTCCGAAATACAGGGTGTTTAAATTTACTTTCTAAAAAAGTTTTTTTAAAATATTTCGAACAATATTTGATGTATAACAGTGAAAATTGGTATAAAAGGGTTTTTTCGTACGACAAAACGAACCATGGGCATAGTTTTACTGTAGCCGCTAGAGGGCGCTCTCTACTGTACCTGTAGTGTATTAAAATGAGCGAAAAATTTTTCTTAGTGCAATTTTTTGCTTTTTGAATAAAAAAACTGATTCTTCGCACTTTTCATCAAAAAAAATCTATCTTGTGAATTTTCGTTATAGTTAGCCGTTTTTGAGATATTTCGTTTTTTAAGTTTCGATGCATTTTTAATTTTATTTATGATAAAATAACGTTAAAAAGTCAGTATCTCGATAATTTTTAGAAGTAGGCTGTGCCTGCAAATATTTTTGAAATTGAAAGCAGAATAAGGTTAAACGTCAATTAGTTGACAGTTAGATTTGTTGTCTGTTGAAACCTGAAACGTTTTTTTGCAATTGTGAATGCACGAAATTTAGTTTCTTTTTCCTGTTCTTTTTTGTAAGTTGTATAAAAATGCCAGAGAATATGCACGAAGATTTTCAAACAGACGACATCCAACTGGCTCAATATTTGTAAGAGTGCATCGCCAAATAATTGAAAATGGTTTTGGAAATCTCCAAAGGGATCAAAACATAAATGTTCGTCAGCGCAGATTTACCTGTATGATTCTGAGTGAATTTGATAGAGATCCGACAACAAGTGTTAGGAAAGTTTCTGGTGCCTTGGGAATTTAAGCAAGCCATGTTCACCGTGTTCTTAGAAATGACCATAGACGTCCTTACCATGTGCAACCTGTGCAAGGACTACAGCCAGGGGACGGAGAGCGAAGAATCACATTTTGTCAGTGGATTCTTGATAGAACTGATAATAATAGGGAGTTTTTAAGTAGCGTTTTATGGACCGATGAGTCATGCTTCACTAGACGTGGAGTAGTAAATTTTCATAATCAACATATTTGGTCGCATGAAAATCCGCATGCAGTTCGGGAAAGAAATTTTCAGAATGAATTTAGTGTGAACGTGTGGTATCTACCGTAATCGACTATTTGGACCCTACCTTTTGCCTGCAAGGTTAAATGCTGCGACCTTCTTGGAATTTTTAAAGGCTGAATATTTAAATATGTGGGATGATGTTATGTTAAATTTAAGAAGATTGGCCTGGTTCCAGCTTGATGGTTGTCCAGCTCTTTATTCGAGAATAGTTAGAAACTGGCTGGACGAAAATTGTCCAGAAAGATGGATCGGCCGTGGAGGACCAGTCGCCTGGCCTCCACGATCCCCTGACCTAAATCCATTAGATTTATTTGTGTGGGGATTTCTAAAAGAAACAGTGTATCAGACTCCCGTAACCACAAGAGATATGCTAATAGACAGAATCAGGAATGCATGTGATGAAATAAGGCCTTATTTGAATAATGCTATACCACGTTCGATCATTCGTAGATGTGAATTGTGTATTGAACAATTGGGTTAACATTTCGAGCAACTACTTTAGATTTTGTATGTTTGTCCTAACTATCCAATAGCATTTTAGTTGTAAATAATTAATTAATTTAATTTGTTAAAAATAATATTGGAAAATTAAATAAATTAATATTCTGTTTTTTGTGTTTATTTGGAGTTAGGAAATATTGCTATGTTTAAAAACACAATCTAAACGATCATCTTAATTACTTGTAATGCCCAAATCGAAAATGTAAAAAAATAGTATTTTCCCATAAATAATTAAAAATGCATCGAACCTTAAAAATCGAAATATCTCAAAGAGGGCTAACTATAACGAAAACTCACAGGAAAGCTTTTTTATGCAGAAAAGTGCGAAGAATCAGTTTTTTTATTCAAAAGGCAAAAAGTTGCACTAAGAAAAAATTTTCGGTCATTTTAATACACTACAGATACAGTACACAGCGCTCTCTAGCGGCTACAGTAAAACTATGCCCATGGTTCATTTTGTCGTACCAAAAAACCCTTGTATACCAATTTTCACTGTTATACATCAAATATTGTTCGAAATATTTAAAAAAAAACTATTTTAAAAAGTAAATTTAAACACCCTATATTTCGTAAGCCACGCATTTTTCGACCCATGTTTAATAGACTTTATGCATTAATTTTAAAGGTTCTATCGAATCTTAAAGTTATGCAACAATAAACTGAAACACCCTGTATATTTGTTATGTCTGTGTGATAGGTTTCTTTTATTAGCCTCTTTTTTTGTTAGTATTATTTGTGCGGTATTATGTTACAGCGTTTTAATCATTCTTATTTTAATACCATTTTAGCTTACTATATACTATGTATGTATGTGAGATTACAATGTGTTTTTAGTATAGATATATAGATATACGGTTTCTTTTTATGATGAAACAAGTATTATTTTACACTTATCGGCTCATGCTTTATTCATTCATTTTGTTTTTTATCAATTTCTTTTTCTGAATAAAGCCTATTGAATTGAATTGAATTGAATTGAATTTGAACGGTTATCTATAGAAATTCAAAAAAGTCCTAAAATTATCTATTTAGCGAACACATGGAAATGCTGTTACAGTTCTGTGCTCAACCCAGTTACACCATATTTGACAAATAACTAGTATGTGCACGAAAAAGTTATTGTATGTATTGTATTTGCATTTTGTGATTCTTATCACTTATTTCTCCATTGCCTAACATTTTTATAAAATTCAGTTTAAGTTACCAGATAGTTTATAATTTTCCAATTTATATTTTTGATATCAAGGTACGTACAATATACAATACTTTTTCATACGTCGATGAATATATAGATATTATCAAATAACAAAATAATAATTAAAGTAAATATAGTGACTAGTCCAAAATTCCAGCTCGTAACAGTATGAAAATTATGGTCTTACCCGAGCCAGTAAGACCGCCGCGCCAACGGACGTAGAGAGCTGCCGATATAAGCTCTTTCTTACATTCAGATTTGCTTATAGTACTTCTCACTTACACGTATACGACAATTTCTCGATCACCTGGCAAGCAGATTGTCACATCAAAATGCCTGTCCCTCTTGAAATATTCACATTTAGTTATAGATAATATCCTATTGAAATTTCACCGTGCCTCAAATACATTTTTTTTTTGCAAAATAGTTTTACTAGCACCTGGCAAAGTTTAAGTTCTATTTCTCCAGTACAAATGCTACTCAACACATCTCCATCACTGACTGCTGATGAAAAAACTCTTACTACGAATAGATACGTGTTCAATTCAAATCAAAGTGCAGAATCCAGGCAATTGGTCGAGTTGATAAAAAAACATATATCCAATTTGAGAAAGAACAATCCAGGGTATGGAGGTGTACATACAGTGTACGAATCGATCCACAAACAGAAAAGTTATTAACGAGTGAAATTCAATACTGGTTACTTGTTGTCGGGTTCTGGGAAGAGCATAAAATATACAATGCCACCTAATTTTGTTATTTTTGAGCAAAATGCCAGATACGGATGCTTAAGACTCACGAAATCTATACAACTTTAAGGATACATTGATTAGAATCGATACACTTCGTAAAGCGTAATATTTTGCTAAATTACTGAATATTGTATCATCAACATCCCCAAGGCTATATAGAGGCCTTCTGAATAACAAAGTTGAGAAATTTTTCCATTTCTCGTGTTTGGTGTATGTTCAAAAAAACAGAAATCGGCCACTTTGAGTTTCGACAAAGTGGGCAGGTTGAACAAGTAGTAAAATAATGTAGGTTTTTAAAATTATAACTGAACAGCTTACCGCCAGCACCACCACAAGTTGGCTTGCATGCTCCACCCCTACAATATCAGTTATATTATTTTCATCTGACACACTTCTATGGGTATACTTACGTAGGCCGTGCGCGCATTATTTGTGTTGGTGGCCTCAATCCCGATGGACCTATAAAAATGAACTGTTAGCAGTAGGACAGGCAACACATAAATCTTAATAGTAATTTGATTAGACTAAGATGATTCTTAATACAGGATCCCCTTTACTATTACCTCACAGCCTTATGCTCCAGATATACTGTAAGACGGGTTTATTGCATTAAAGCAAATGAGAGAAAATGATTATAGCTATATTCTTAATACATTGTCTAGCTTACTAATGATAATAGTAACAATAATAATAACAGTCAAGATAATAATAATAAAGGTCTTTGGGGCGAAGTTTTGCTTCAAGCTTTCCTGTCGGTTAACCTTTGAAAAGTAAATAAAGATCATGTAATATACTCAAGTATATGATACTGTAGTTACAGTAGAAGATGAACACTTAATTATACATATAAATGCATACCGAAAAGGAAAGATTTTGCGAAGAGAGGGCTCAACTACTCTGGTGAATACTTTTCTAAAATAAATTGTTGCCTGAGGTACTTCATTATAAAGTCTAATGAGATTTTGTGAAAAGGCATGGTGAGTGTCTTGGTAAACCATATGTCTCTTGAGTATAAAGAATTTCGACGGATCAGCTTGTTCTTCAGAAACGAGGGAATTGAAGCAAGAGCTTATGAGTGTAAGTTTATGGCTGTGAGTAATATAGCTGTCTCACCTTCAATCATCACAAGTCTCTCAAAGTACTGCTTACAAGAATTTTAATTTTTTTGTAAACGTGAAAGAGATATCATATCTATATATGGACTGTAAACTATACCACAGTAAGTGATTTTGGACATAATTTATGATTCGCATAAGATTCTTTTACTTTGATAATCGAGCATTTGCTTATTCAGAAATTAATGACGTAAGATCGGAAAGCAGTTCTTGGTAATTTGGTTTACATAAGGTATGGACTTGAGACACGCGTCACAAAGAATTCCCAAGTTTTTGACTGATTCATTATGAATGAATGAATCTTGAATTTTAGAGGCATCCCGGCCACCATAAGGAGCCAGTGCATAGGCCGCTTAAGCGGGCCCTTATGCACCTCTACAATACTTAAATCACAAGCCTCGCCCTTTTAGCGAAGTTGAGAATCGCCTTGAGTCCAAGCTCCTTTACGTCCTGAGGGTCCAAAGTAATGGACCCCAGTATAGTCTGCCTATAGTAGCTCAGAGCTTCACAGCGACACAAAACGTGCGCCGAGGTCTCTTCCTCTACTCCGCAGCGTTCGCACAAGGGATCCTCAGCCACCCCCATCACGTGCAGGTGCCGCCTTAACGTGTTATGGCCAGACAACAGTCCCACCAGCAACCTTAGGTTGGCTCTACCCAGAGATAGGCAGAAGCGTCCATCCTTAGCACTGGGCCCTTCAATGAGCTCTCGTGCCTGGCGGAGATGTCTAGAGATACTTCTCCATATCTGAGAGTGTGGTCTTGCAACCCACGTCTCCATTTTCCTCCTAGCTTTATGCGCGGTTACTCCTAGAGCTGGCTCAGGACCAACGAGCTTGCTGGCTGATCCTGTTTTCGCCAGAGTGTCCGCCGTCTCATTGCCCCTTATCCCAGCGTGCCCCGGTACCGATATTGACGATACCGGATACCTCGCTGCGAGGCAATCCAGAGCCTCCTTGCATTGCAATACAAGACTCGAAGTAATCTTACAGGCACTTAGTGCTTTCATTGCAGCCTGGCTGTTATCCTTCTCCTAGGCCCACCCTCCTCCAGAATGTGAGATACACAAGCCAGATTCATTAACTTCGATAGTAGCACCATCTCAACTAACCTAAAGTTGTTTTTAACATAACTTAGGCGAACAAATAATCAGTTTTGATTTTAAAGAATTTAGTTGGAGGTTATGATTTTTTGCTTATACATTAATTGATTTTATGTCTACATTGGTCATATTCAGCGATTTGAGTGTTGCTACTATGGAAGTGACGTGATCTAAACTTCCTTATCCCATGTTCATCTATATTCTTTTCCTCAGACCTATTTAGTTACATGACATTATTTAATGTTACCCTCAACCACTCGAAGATAAACAGCTATCACATGACCAATATTACTCGACAAACCATTCAGGCATTTATTCGGATTGATAATGAGCATATTTTGTCATAAATATTTTCCAAATAAAGAGAAGTATTCTTACATGGGCCACAGGGTCCTACTTGAGTTACATTAGTATTGGCTCTACCAGTAGTTTTCTTCGTTTGGGGGTCAGTGGTGGTTTTTATACTTGTTGTAGTCACAATCTTGGCTTTCTGATAGCCTGACATTTTGAGAATATAACTTCACTAGAATTTGAAAAGGTGGAAGGAAAACAAATCTTGTTCTGTTAGTAGTGTGTCGTACTGACAAATACCATCAAACGTCACGAGTGTATTGTATGAATTACGTATCAACTAGAACCTGTAGTTTAGTAAATTAAACAACCAGCTGAAGTTCATGGAAGTTATAGTCCCGGATACCATGCACTAAAAATGTTTATGGATACGAATTATTCTGTGGGTTATAAAGCTACAATGTCGAAACAAGGCAAGTTTGTCTAGACGTTGGTCCAGGGCTCTTATGTTGGTGCTTCTTTGCTATTAATAGTATTGCATGTGCAACAACGTCCATGATTATATTGAGTAACAGATGGAATGACTCAATTTAAGTGAATAAGTAATTCAGATACTTGGATCTATGTCGGGATTGTATATTCGGTGGCAGTATTTCTAGAACATAAAGTATGTAAAAAATATTACGAAAAGTCATATAAACATGGATTCCGAAATACAGAGAGTTGGAGTTATATATTTTAAAAAGAAAAAAATACATCTTTGCAATAATTTAGATCTTGACTCAAAATTTTGTGCATGTAGTACTAACAACATAGCCAATATATACACAACAACCCGAAAGTACATCATTAGGAAATGTTGACCTTTACAAAAAAAAGAAAACCACTTCCTACGCCACTAACTATTCTTAATTTTTATCGCATTTTTGAATCAGGTACTGAATTTAACACAAATCTTTTCCATTGAGACTGATTAATCCTTTTGGAGAAAAGTTGGTTTCAAAGTTTGTTGTAAAATACGTATTTCAACCGGTACGGATTTTAGGTATCTTGAAAAGTGACACTTTTTCGTTTTTGTATTTTTTCTTTTTGTAGGTTTTTCTACTACTACTAAGCACTAGCTGTTGTACGCTTGTTATGAACTCGTTTTGTAGTAGGTGTACATATTGCCTAAACGTCATGATGCTTCAGCTATCAATGTTTGGATCTGATGTGATCTAATATCTGCTTAGAAATGGCGTTATTGGAGGTAGGTCACAATGAGGATTTGTGTGCTAATATTCTGTGTTGATGATGATTCCATTGGATTCTTGTCTCAAATACACTTACTTGAGATGCATTCAAAGCTAGAAATTAGTTGCGCATTCACTTTTTCTTATTCATTCTGGAAGTTACATATGCAAATTTTCTGATTTTGAAAATGAGAGAGATAAGAAAGGAAAATCCTTGGTTGGTGAAGTATATACAGGGTGGCGCATCGAAAACGAAACAGACGCATTTACTGGCAGCTCAGTTTTTTTTTGAAAAAACGGTCAGAGCCGTCGATTTTCTTTTCGAGGGGGATAGAAGTTTGGCAAAAAATCCACGTTGGCACGTGCAGTCTGCTAAGCGGGGGTGACACCGCCCCCAAAATCTTAAATCGAAAGGGGGGTCGAGTGATACCTTATTTTAAAGGTCTTTCAATTCCCTTTATAATGATATAAAATTAATGTACTTCAGTTCAGTAGTTTTGAGGATTTATTGATTTAAAGCTTAAATAAAACTAATATATCACCATTAGTGGTGATCAATACATTTGGCAGAAAATGAAGAATGAACTGACCCGTTAGGCAAGTAAATGTTAAAAATGGCCACCGTGACTCTCCATGCAATAATAAAGATTTTGCTCAAAACGTTGCCGCACATTATGCAATATTTGAGGAGTAATTTTAAGGCACTCATTCACAATTCTTTGTCGCAGGTCTTCTAATGATGTTGGCTGAGTAGCATAGACTTTGCTTTTTAAATGACCCCACATAAAGAAATATATTCAATTTCACCTCTTCTACCAATCCGAAAATCCGAAACATACATATGTCGATAATTTCAACTCTTTCTGCTGTGGAATATACCATGGTTAATTTATGTAATATAGCGTTACAAGTTATTTTAGCAACAAAGTTTGGTCAAATCAATCGCAAACTATGTACTAAATTCCTATTTAAAATAGGTACGAGATATTTCCTTATCTTTCTTCAAGAAATAACTTTTTTTGCCACAAAAAACGCTCCAATAGCTATTTTCAACAACAAAATGATAAACAAACCATGGGCGTAGTGAAGAAAAGCATTTACTTATTAAGTAAATTCTTTTAGTCAAATTTCTTCTGAAAGTAGTTCAAACCAATCTGATGTACCTTTTAAAGTCTACTTTAAGCTTTAAATCAATAAATCTTCAAAACTGCTGAACTGAAGCTCATGTATTTTACATCATTATAAAAAGAATTGAAAGACCTTTAAAATAAAGTATCACTCGAGCCCCCTTTCCATTTAAGATTTTAGGGTTGGTGTCACCCCCGCCCAGGGGGCTGCATGTGTTAACGTGATTTCTTGCCAAACTTGTGCCCCCCTCGAAAACGAAATCGACGGGTCTGAGCGTTTTTCCAAAAAAAAAAAACTGAGCTGCCAGTAAATGCGTCTGTTTCGTTTTCGATGCGCCACCCTGTTACAAGGAACAGGTGAGGAAATATGCTACAGACAGGAATATTTATGAAACGTAAAAAAAGTTATTATATTATTGGCCGGAGTAAAGATAACATGGCGACGCAAGACAGCTGTTGAAATATACTCTACTAGACTATGCAAGGCTATCCCTAGCGAATTTTTTCCCTTTGTTAAATGTATTATTTTTATAATTATGCATAGTATTTTACTGTAATTTAAATATCATGCTACTCTTGCTGTTACTGCAAAAAAGCTAGACACACACTATTTATACACATGGAAATCTACAGTATGAATAATTGTTTTATGTTTATGTGCCAATTGTGGACACGATATATAAATGATTTAAAATTTGATAACAATTCGTAAAAATACAAATTTTCATAAAACATGAACATGTTTTGTCTTTTCTTGCACGAGCAATGGGAATATCTATCGGAATCACCTTTAGCTATTTGGCAAACATTATTACGCCTTAATTCTTATGTTTATCCATTGGCATTCCTCAATATTTTATTCAAAGCGTCTTTTTTTATCCAGGTGACAAGAATAACAGGGTCAGTTGCCAAAACTTATATCTAACCTGGGGTACCGACGGAGCCATTTTGAACGTCAAGGTATGAATTTTCATTTGAAAGTGTTGTGCAACGATTTCGGGAAAAATTTCTCTACGGATAGTCTAGTAGAGTCTAGTAGAGTATATTTCAACAGCTATCCATCGGCCACAGCTAACAGGTATACTTCTTTGGCAGCATATCCAGTAATCATTTTCTCACATAGCAAATATCACGGATTATATACACATGCAGACTAATACGCATAATCATCCAGATTCGATCTTGCTAATCGACCAACTTTCTTTCTTTCACATCTTCTCAGAGATAAACACTACAGACTTTCTGCAACCAACAATGCATGTCATGTCGTTGAGTCATTCCTCGATAGATGGACGCTTTTGATGGCGCACACTGCTATTGTAGTGGGGAAACGTGGAATACCTAGTCTCCAAGATGACATTTTGCCGTTTTTTTCACGTTTTTTAGTTTTTTTTTGCATAAAAGCTCTGCTGTTCTAGTTTGACAGTTTGACGGTAAAAAGAGGTATTAGGAGAGTGATCTTCTTTCACCACAGCGTCATTTGAAAAATATTATATATAATATAAATATTATATTATTTACATTATGTATATTGTCTTTATTCAGTTTCATCTGTGCCGCAAAAATTTACACTGTGTGTCCTGGTAACAGCCCATTATAGGAGACATGTTTATAGAAACTTTTTCTGTTAGCTTTGGATGCAACCAAACCAATTCTGGAATGGCACACAAGGTTGAAATCGCTTTAAAATAAACTAACCTAAAAAATACTCTTCAAGTTCTTGCAGTTCAAAGTTTAAACTTCAATTTAAATACTTCGCAGCCTAAAAATTATAATTTCCAACCGAGTTTTTAAGTATTGACGGTAACTCCAATCAATTTTTTTTAATTAAATTCAATATATTTTTCTGTCCGGAAATTTTTTAGGTGTTTTAAATCATTTTGAACAAGAAATGTTTCCATAAACCTCCTCTAAAGCTTTCCGAGTAATAAGTGATTTAATGTCTGAAAAGCTATATATATATATATGTGTATATTCAATGCTTAAAAACCTTAAAAATTGTATCTTTTGAGATCGTCAAAAATCTAAATTGAAGTTTGAAACCGCGAAGAGAATTGTGAGTTTTCATTATTTTAAAGCTATTTTCAACCTTGTCCGTTACACGAAAATTGTCGAAATGTTGGTTTCTGCGGACTGTACCTTCTTTTCTAAAAACGTCTACACTTAACTAAATCATGATATTATGTTCCGTCCTCGTCGAAGTAAATATTTAGAATACATATCGTAGTAACCGCGTAGTAGTACCCAACCGCCATGATTTCAAAGCGCACGCGCAGAGAAGGAAAGCGGCACCGCGCCCCTTCCCTCTACCTTTCTCCCATCTGAACGCCTATAAACTATAAACCTTCATTCCTTGTTCTCGTGCCCGACCGTCAAGACGTTATTCGGCGCGCCTCGTTTACGTGCTACGTGCAGTGCAGTGTCAAGAATCCGCTGAACATTTGGAATTAGAAAACAGGACAGAAGGTAGATGTGTATTATCGAACGAGATACCGACCGATTGACACCTGAAGGTTCCTTTCGTCGTCGACCAAAATTAGAAAGTGGCGTGCAGGCCTCTTTTTCTGAAGGGGCGTCACCATCAGGTAACTGTCAACTAACCGATCTGTTTTAGGTGCAAGTTAGATGGATATTAGTATAGATGCCTCATCGGCGCTGCAAATTGTGCCTAGCATGACGTTTGGGATATCGTTCTGACACTGTTGCTTGGGATAGCAACCTGGACCGAGCTTGTGATAGGCAACTTCATACCTAGGACGAACAAAGACGTTTGGGATAACGCTGGAACGTGGACCTGGCTTGGGATAGTCAGCTCCACACCAAGTGAATGAAGACATTTGAGATAACGTTGTAACATTGGACTCGGTTGCTTTGAGTAGCAACGTGGATCTAGCTTGTGATAGTCCACACCAAGGACGAATGAAGATGTTTGGAAAAATGACTCAATACTGAACTTCCTTGCACAAA